TGGGAGACTGATGCACCGAAACTAAGCTCAAGGCTTGTATTATTGGGTCATCAGGTCCCCTCTTCTTATAAATTTGACGGGTTTATTTAAAAAAAGACTATCAATAGATGACATGTCTATTTCTTATTTCGTTGAATAAATGATTTGATTTGATTATCTCCACCATTTAAGAATAGAAATCTGTAGTCGTGTTGTGTAATAACAATATTTGATTAGGTAACACGTTAGACAAGATAAGCTGGAACTGGTGACCGCGCAAATTAACGCAAATCTGAATCAGAAAGACTTGCCTTTCAGTCGCAACAATTCGTTCGGAGGTTGCGTCTCTGATGTTTGTAATGTGAATTTAGTCTTATACTTTTTATTACTAATTATAATTTGTATCATATACTTTTCTTATGAATAAAAGTGGCTATATCAGTTTTTAATGTAAGGTTTACAAGTATTTTAATGTAAGATTACAAGTAAATACTTCTTCGTGCAATGTAAGTGTTAAACAATCTTCATTTTTAATAAATACAACATCAGAGATGGTCGAATAAATTTAAGAATTCTGCGCTGTGTAAATAAGATCTGTATATACATATATAGATCTTAATTAATTTTTACACATTAATAGCGGTATTTCTAGTAAAATACCAATTATTTTAATTAAAAAGAAGAAACAGTTTTGTTTTATGTAGTTTTACTAAAAAAAAAAAGTGTGTAGTTACTTACACAAATTTAATATCGAACAGTACGTTTCGTGGGGTCGCCCGAAAAAAAAAAACAGTTGAAATCCAAACCAAAATTTTTCTATGCGTTGCCTCTTTTAAATAAGGTGGGCCCCGGCTACCTCACTCACCAGACGAAACGCAGAAGTTGTAACACTTCTACTATACGCCGGTCTTCTGTGAGGTCGTGGTACTTACGTCCGGGTAAGGACCTGCCCATTCATGCAATATTCAATTAATTACATTCGTTGCATTCATCATTTCATTATGACACATTATAATGTATAATAAGTTACAAACTTCGTAGCTAGATGTTAGTTGATTGCAGTCTTACTTTGTGAATAATTAAAAGTACAAAATTATTTCACCCTGATAAACAGTCTATACACAAATTCACTACTCTTACCCTACTAACCAACAGAGATATAATTATAGAGCAAAAAATATCATTAGCACGTCTACAAATCGTCTTAAACTAACTTATAAATCGTCGTAACATTCTCCGTAAAATGACAAGGTCTTAGAAACCGATACAAAAATAGATTCGCAAAAAAGCGCATCAATTACGATAGTGTATTATAGATTCCACTCAGAAAACCTGCTCGCTAATTGCCTACTGCTTTACGGTTATTTAAAATTAAGAATTTGTCGCATTTTATTTGATTGTCATCTAGAATGATAAGTTGCTTTTATATAATTTTTATTTTTATGTCGTTTTTTTTCTACGCGAAAAGTTGACAAGCGAGATGACGGTTCACCAGATGTTAAGTGAATACCGTCGCCCATGGGCATCCGCTACACCCGTGGGTTGCAGATGTGTTGACAACCTTTTGAAAATTGGGCTCCGGCTACCACACTCACCAGACGAAACGCGAGAGTATTTGTCATACTTCCACTATACGCCGTTTTTCTATGAGGTCGTGGTACTTAGCCGACGAGCCTGCCTGAACTCTATTTATGTCCTAGCGCGAACCCAGTGATTCACAGCGATAAGATAATTTAAGAAATGCTAATTAAATACTTCAAATGTAATGAACACACGTACGAATTGAATGTATTTGGAACGTAGATGAGAGAAAGAGATACATGTTAAGCGAGAAAGAAATATTAAATTTTTTTAAATGTTTCGAGGGCGTTTCATAAACTCGATAAGTAATGATATCCAATTTCTAAATAATCCTGATTTAGAAGAATTAGAAGACCTAAATAGAAGACAGTCACTGCAAATAGATTTAGAGAGACGCGTTGGATAAGTACTCGTAAAAACATTATTAATATGTGTAGCCTCGACGAGAAATATCGTGAAAGGTTATACAAGAATATTAATCAAGCAATTTTTTTGTATTACATGTTATTGTTGTATGTGCATTTATTGCGTCTCCATCGTGCTAAGTTCAAATTATGCATTTCATCCGCCAAACCTTTGAGTTCCCAGTTTGCAAGTATTCAATATTTGTATAAGAATCTTCTATATAACAAGGGTCTGCCAGTTTATATAAGAATATCCCATGTAAAATTTTGATGTGAATATTAAAAATTATGAATCTTAAATTTTATACAATAATCATGAGTCTTTTACGGTGGTAGGGCCACGCAGCAGCCTCGGATGTTGCACGAATGGGCAGGGCCGTCCGGGTAAGTACCACGACCTCACAGAAGACCAGCGTAAAGTGGAAGTATGACAAATACTTTCGCGTTCCGTCTGTCGAGTGAGGTAGCCGAAGCCCAATTATAAAAAGGTTGTCAACGCATCTGTAACCCTCGGGTGTGGCAGATGTCCATGGGCGGCGGTATTCACTTAACATCAGGTGAACCGTCTGCTCGTTTAACAACTTTGCGCATAAAAAAAATTATGAGTCCAACCCAACCTAGCCTTTGGTCGGGGGAGATCTAGATTGTCTCTCAACGCCTTCTAGTTGGTACTTTCACTTTGCCTTTGGCAGGTCCGTCCGGGTAAGTACCACGACCTCACAAAAGACCTGCGTGAAGTGGAAGTGATCTACTTCAGCGCTTCTTCTTGCGGGTGTTGCAAATGTCAATGGGCGGCGGTTATCACTTAAGATCATATGAGCCGCCTGCTCACTTGCCATCTTAACACATAAAAATCCAAACCCAATCCCAGTTACTCGTATATCCTCCATCTCTATTGTACTCGATATGACTATTCGTAATCTCTTAACTTATACAACTACTAGACATAATGTATAGGACTAGCAAAACATAAAATCAAGGAAATATGCCAATATAGAAATATTAGAGCCAATAAAGCAATATATTTATCAAAATTAATAAATTAATAAATTTATCAATATAAAGCATTATAATTATCCCTGCCCCAACTGTCCGAATCCGTATGTTATTAATATTTGTATTTTCATTTCGATAAGTTGACACGAATTTAATATTGCGAGTGCGGGTTCATTATAAAAGAATGCATCTTCGGGCTGAAACCATTCTATGCACCATTCCTCTCCACAATATTCGAAGCTCGCCGCGACTTTTCTCCTCTTCTCCGATTTATTTTACGTAGCTCCTCTACCCACCGTTACACAAGTGAATTCCTCTCTTTAAAAAGTCTATAAGTATATGTATATAATCACTTACCTACCAATACCATCAGGTGAAAGGCCTACTTGTTTGGTACCTACGTTCCGTAATATCGTTAACTACGTATGTCGTATTCTATAAATATACTTAATATATAATATCGGTAGTATTTATACAACTGAACTTTATGCACCCGTTATTTTATCAACCGAATTCGAAAGGTTCACAATTCATTTGAATTTTTTGTTAACGTTTATTATTATTATCTCAGAACTCCGTCATTTATTAACCGATTTTAAAAATTCTCTTTGGTGGTCCCATACTAATTCAGTGGTGTTAGACCTTAGTGAACTCTTAAAAATCGACTAGAAAATATATAGTGATCGGTTTTTATTTTTTTGTTAATGAAAAAAAGAAAAAAAGTCAAAAAAATCATCTTAAGTGCGGAGATCATCAGTGCTACTGAAAAATTTTAAAAAGTACTTGTTCTCTTAATGGTTAAAACATCACAGGTGGTGAGTTTTGATATATTTATAGCTTTGTTGGTAGCTCGGAAACGTAAAAAGTAAGTACGGTAATTGCGTCCTTGCTGGATAACATACTCAAATAAACAACGTTGCACATTACGATTTCCTATGTTTATTATGCACGTAATAGACATTAACAAACTGTTTCTCAGGATTTATCGCATTTATCCGTGCCGTAATGGATGTTGCAAATTATTCGAAGAACGGGAATTAAGGTTTAAAGTAAGTCTTTGGCGTCTGGATTTAAATTCTTAACCTTGAAAGGGTTTTAAAGTGGATATTTTAGGCGCGGTTTTTGAGAAAGCATTACATTCAAGTAAACCTTTCAAGGTAATACCGCTTATACTAAGCTCTTTGTCTAAATTGACTTCCTCACAGATTTTTGTGATAACCGTTTTTCTTTTTTTTTTTTTTAATATTGCCCTTACTTTAGGATAACATTGTCCTTTGTTTTAAGGACGTTTTACATATAAAAATTTCACGCGGACAAACACACAGATGCGAAAGCACTTTCTGTGTGTCACACAAATAGTCTTGTGTGGGAATCGAACTCAATAATTCCGACTCGGCGCCAATACCTCGGAATCCGCGCCACTTATGCCGGGTTCCTATATTCAACGAAGGGCCGTTAGTTACATAGACGACTAGTAGGTAAAAGGCATTTTTCCGTTGCATTACCTACGGAAAGTGAGTTACTGGCGTTCCTTTAATCTATAAGTCGTTATGAAAGTTACAAAGCTATGTAACTAGCGGCCGTTCGTTGAATATAGGAACCGGGCATTAGTCATCTCATCGGACTGGGCGCTAACTAAATGTGTCTTAAACTCTCTGTTTATTTGTTTTTGTTTGACATCATTTGTATTAATTCGAGTCAAACTCAATTCGAACCCAAGACTCAATCAAAACCCCTGCAGCGTTTTTTAACAGAAACTGATTCCGTTGGAACGACGAACGACAATACGATTATTTATTAAATAATTTTCTGAAGTTGTTGAAATATTAAGTATTTTTGGCCTGTGTATGTATTTCACTAACCCATAAATCATGTAATAAATTAAAAATACTTTTATAAATATGTAGAAAATTGAGGAATAGTCATACGCCGCTGCGACAATTTGAACCTTTGTTACCATTTGTCCTTTATGCGTCCGCTTTAGTCTTTCTAAACTTGTTTCAAGATATTTTATATCGTCTTTAACTTTTTCATTTCAGAATGCCGGACGCCATGTTTATTTTCGACCAGTGCTGTTTTTGTGTAGAGTTGAGGGCTGGCTGTTTCGTCATCGCCTACGTTCAATTGGTAATATACATTAAAAAACAAACATATGCATTGAAGGCCTTAAATAAATATCTTTCTTTAAAAAATATATATTTAGATAATTATGTTCTATCTGTGTACCAAATTTCATTTAAATCGGTTCAGTAGTTTTGGCGTGAAAGCGAGACAGACAGACATAGTTACTTTTGCATTTATTATATTAGTATAAATATGTATTTACTTACAAAAGAAAAGTATGATTAATTATGTTCATCACTTATCTAGTACCCATAGTATAAGCGTTGCTCAGTTTGAGACTAGAGAACGTTGTGTAAAAATGTGTCCTAAAATATTTATCTATTAACTAGCTGCTGCTCGCGACTACGTCTGCGTAGAAAAGGCTGAAGGCGTAACATTCAGACAAAAAGACAGATATACATAAAACATGTATTAAAATTATAGCCTATGTCTTATTCTGGTGTATAAGCTATATTGTAAAGTTTCATTAGAATCCATTCAGTAGTATTTGCGTGTGTGTAAAGAGTGACAAACATCCATCCATACGTACAAACTTTCGAGTTTATAATATTAGCAAGGATAAGTAAGGATTAATAGAAAGAATTTTGTGTCACAGTTCGTCGAAGCTCTGACTTTCGCGCTGTTCCTGTATGGAATAGTGGAGGGTGCAGTGCTGATGACATCCAGCGTGGAGTCCGTCAACGAACTAGCGTTCATTCTGCTGATGTTCAGCGTGCTGTTCCTCGCCTTCTTGGGCCTGATATTCGTTTTCACAATTGTCTTGATAATCGGCTTGCATAAGGTAACGTTTATTCGATAGTTTCTTCCATTAAAGCGATCAAATGAAACTATTTTTTAACGGATTTATAGCGTTTAATTGTTTTATTGCCGACGTTTCGATCCCTTTACAGCGTTCATGGTCAGACACAGATAGCGTCTGTCCCGGGAGAGAGTCTGTTCCGTATTTGTTATAATTAGATTATATACATTATATTATATTGTTATCGCACCGTTTCCTAAAAGATACAACTTTTTGCCATTACTAATTGGCACTACGTTCAACTTATTGTGGAAACGAAAACGTGAAAAGTTGCCTAATGTTTTCCATAGATGGCGTATACGCGAAATCTTATTAAATAGAAGTTCCAGTAGTTTAATAAGTAACTCGAGTTTTATTGATTAATAAATACATTTATACAACAAACAATAGCTTAAATATATAAAATAAATTGATCAAAACCAACCGATAACCAAAATGTTTAACTGCAATTATTAAAAAGTATTATTATTGTTATTCATAAAAATACATAGTAAAAAATATTTGTTATAAATTAGTTCGATTATCTTTGAGAAATGTTAAGAACTTATTAAGTTGCATAGCATCGTGTCATGAATTCAAATAAGTTAATTTTGTTGAAAATATAATGAAAAAAAAAAAACTCTATTTTCACTTGTGAACAGTGGCGTCATCTGTTGAAAAGCTGAACTTGGTGACAAGTAAAGTTGCCCCTTAAATTACTGCCCCATAAATACCTATTTAAAATAATCTCCATAATTCTTACGTTAAAATTATATCTCCAATAACAAAATCTATCTGTAGATAGAGTATTGAAACCGCGCTTAGGGCACCAACGCAATGCACACATTAATCTAGTGTGGTTACATTTCAGAGAAACAGTGGTCAGATAAGAGCGTATTTAATTTGTGCCATGATCTTTCTTCCGGTATACGTCACTACAGCCTTCGTGTCTTTCCCAATGGTAACCTTCGCGGCCCTGGACATGATCTACAAAGTGATCAGCTTGGGTAAGTTATATAATCAGCTTTTTTTATGTCAGATAGTGGCAAAAGAACTGGCGGTGCACTAGGCGTTAAGTGATAACCCCTTGACATTTGCAACACCCGTCGGTTGCAGATGCGGTGCCACCTCATGATAAAGAATGGCCCTAACTGACCAGACGAAACGCAAAAGTATAATTCAAATATCTTTATTCCATATAGAAGCCTTATTGTACACTTGTCGACATAAAAAGAAACACATTTACACAAATAAATTTAAAAAACCGGCGAAAGAAACTAAGCGCCGCATTTTTTAAACTCTTTTGACAGAAAATAATAAAAATATTTACAATAAATTAAATTCCATTCTTGAAAGTGAATATATCCACTTAATGCCGTCTTCTCTGAGGCTGTGGTACTTATCCTGACGGACCTGCCCATGCTTGCAACAGAGATGATTGTTGGGTGTTTATATATGGGATGATGGCAAAAGTGGCTAAGGGTATAAGCTCCCTTAGGCTGTAGTTGCGTTTCCAATTAGAGAGATGCAAAATCCAAAATATATCTACTTAACATTGGTCTACTTTGGGGCTGTGCCTAGGTACTTTAAAGGTATTATTAATAAGGTATTATTATTAAATTAGGTGGTATTATTATTAGTAGGTAGTATTATCATAAGGTAGGTAAAATAATTCAGGGTATTGCTATCCAAGTTATAACTGTTACCAATTGCATTTAATATTGTCTGCCATAAAACACGATCCTGAGCCACCTGCATCCATCGACTTCCCGCGCATTTGCACAAGTCGTACCTACTACCTCCACTAGATGGAGTGCCATCTAGTGGAGGTAGTACGAGGCTGCCACTCGAGAACCTTTCTTCCCCAGCGGTTATCGCTTCTACGTTATATGGCCGGCCCATCGCGACTTCAGCTTACTAACCTTCCGATCTATGCCGGTTACCTTGGTGTACTTTCGGTTGTGCTTCATGGCGGTCTGTGAGGGAGGCCTGTGTTCAGCAGTGGACTCAAACAGGCTAAAATGCTTATGATGAATAATGTCTTTTCGCAAACAAAGATTGGTACAGGGAATACAATTTTTAGTTATTTCTCTTTTGTTACGCTTAAGAAGTATAAATTCTTACGTGCGGACATAAGTGAAAACGCGCTTTTTTATTTTTCAAAAGACTTCTTTTAAAACACAAAAAAATAGGCCAAGATAGTATTTTAAAGACATATTTTTGTACCGCATTGATTCCAAATTTAGCGGGCAGCTAATAGATGGCGCAGTAATCAAATACTATAAAATTCTTGTATGCTATTGCCTCGTATCTAGTTGTTTGATTGATGAATGTTTATACAGCCCTAAAGAATAAACAAAAAAGGATAAATGATTTTTTGTAAGACTGTAGTGTTTTAATAGTTTTGGTAAAAAGATATTATATTCAAATATAAGATGACACTGGCGCACCGAAACTAAGGCGCTCAAATTACACCAATTGGTGTACTTAGATTGCATTTCTATAGACCGCTACCTCTTTCTGTATCATAGGTTCTATATCATTTGTCACATTCACATTAGTCATACAGCGAGGCTTTTTTAAGTGTACACTGTGTTTTTTTTTTTTTAATTAAATTCTAGACATAAATAATGTTATATAAAAATGATAAATATTTAAAATCACTCGTAATTAATTAAATTACCTCAGGAAGCTCGCACGGCGAAGTGCAATTTTTTTTAAAAATAAAAGTTTGTTTTTATTCCAATAAGCGATTATACTACCGAGTCTGAACCTCCTGTGTGAATTTGGGCACGTTTCGAAAAGCCATCCTGTGTATTATCATACGTCACCTATATTAAACATCATCGGACGTCGCTTTTAATGAACTAATTTAATTAATTGATGACTCCGTGGCGCAGTTGCCAAGTTATTGGCTACGGCGTCGGGGGTCGTGGGTTCGATTCCCACACGGGACAACTATTTGTGTGACCCACAGATAGTTGTTTCGCATCTGGGTGTTTGTCCGCGTGAAATTTATGTTTGTAAAACGTCTTTTACAACACAGGATAATATGATCCTAAAGTAAGGGCGGTGTTTTTTTTTTAAAAAAAAAAAAAAAAAAAAAAAATTGTACAATCTTTATTGATCTAATATTTACAAGATTAAATCTATCTAAAATTACATATTATCTAATAAACCTAATCCATGCGGCATGGTGCCAAGAACGCTAGCTGCATTTCCTCGCTGAATAGTTATGCTTAACCTTTGAGCGAGAAAAGAACAAGCTCTCTTGTCACCAGCCACGGCGAATTAATTAATGAACTAATTAATTGCACAAGAAAGTAGTTGGGTTTCCACGGTTACATTAAGCATCAGTTCTCTTTATTTTCAGTTATGTATGTATACTCCATCGTCGTTATCAGAAGCTACTGGATTCAGATCGGCAAGAACAGGAGCGATGGGTACAGATATACGATTGGCACTTCTTAAGCGTTTTCTGCGGGTCCCGGAAATTTCATTTTTGGCATTTGCGAATGCAATTAAACAGCAGCATATTTAGACTAATATAAACATGGTTCTAGTATCGATATAACTAACATAAACGTAAGTGTCGACGTAAATTGTATTTAAAGATAATTTATTACAAGGCGTGACAATTTTTTTGTGATAGATAATCTTCGACGACAAATGGACAAAATTAAATTTAGTATAAAATCGGATCATAATAATATTAAAAAAAAAAAGAAAAAAAAAATTGTACAATCTTTATTGATCTAATATTTACAAGATTAAATCTATCTAAAATTACATATTATCTAATAAACCTAATCCATGCGGCATGGTGCCAAGAACGCTAGCTGCATTTCCTCGCTGAATAGTTATGCTTAACCTTTGAGCGAGAAAAGAACAAGCTCTCTTGTCACCAGCCACGGCGAATTAATTAATGAACTAATTAATTGCACAAGAAAGTAGTTGGGTTTCCACGGTTACATTAAGCATCAGTTCTCTTTATTTTCAGTTATGTATGTATACTCCATCGTCGTTATCAGAAGCTACTGGATTCAGATCGGCAAGAACAGGAGCGATGGGTACAGATATACGATTGGCACTTCTTAAGCGTTTTCTGCGGGTCCCGGAAATTTCATTTTTGGCATTTGCGAATGCAATTAAACAGCAGCATATTTAGACTAATATAAACATGGTTCTAGTATCGATATAACTAACATAAACGTAAGTGTCGACGTAAATTGTATTTAAAGATAATTTATTACAAGGCGTGACAATTTTTTTGTGATAGATAATCTTCGACGACAAATGGACAAAATTAAATTTAGTATAAAATCGGATCATAATAATAAGCTTTTTTCATTATAAGGATTTTAATGTGTTCAGTGATCACAATCTAAATCTAAAATTAACTAATCAGCAGTTAACTTCAACGGTGATCAGTGTTTCAGAAACCGGGCGTTAATGTTTTTCCATGTTTAAATCTAAGTAACAAAAATAAATTACCTGGAGGTACGGTGAGTACCTCCATTCCAAGTTTCATCGATATAATATAACGTGTAATGTATAATATAACGTAATACATAACACATAAGGTAGAATATAAAACAAACTCCAGTTATAAAGAAAAAGCTCTTAAAGCACAAAAGAACTGTATCCCGGCAATGTTTAAGTTTAAGACAACCATCAAGTTAGCCTCCTGCTCGTTTGACCCTTTTCTCCGTAAAAAAAAAGAAGAAATCTAGGTAGTTGTAAGCATTCAGGGACAACAAAACTTTGACTTTGACGTCTCTGTACATTTTAGAAAAGCTGTATTTGTTAAAATTAAGCTCTCAATATTTCAATGGGCCAGCCCAGCCCGTATGCACAATATCTAGTGTCTTCTGCATGGCACCAACAATTTATAATAAGATACCAAAAAGTCGCAAAGAATTAAATATTCTTTTCAATTAAAAAACAATTTTGTTTAGCTGCCGCTTTTTGTACTTTTTTAATAACAATACTTTTTAAATAACATTGATTGATTTATGTTGCATAATGTAATTTTTTTTGCTGCTATTATATGTGTTAAGTTTTTATTGTAAGTTTTAAGTTGTCCATTGTAAGTTTTAAGTCATCAAGTGCTTGCATAATGTATTTGTACACTCCTTGTTGACATCTGTTTTTGCAAATAAATTATTATTTTTATTACAAATAAAGTGGGGAAATTTCACTAATTCACTCAAGATTTTAAAGATAATAGATAAAGGTAAACATATACTTTTTATACAGAAATGTGAAGTGATCATTAGCTTTTAAAATAAGCTTTGAAGGCCCAGGCTCTCAAGGTCTTAATTCGTACTTAATTAACGGCTTGATTCTTAGTCCGCCACTGCACTAGATATCCCGTGCTTTGACAATATGTATGTAAATAATGTAATGAAAGACAAATAAATGAGAAAAATATCAGTCATTATAAGCGATCTTTTCAGTAAAAAATTACTTTTCAGTGATTTTTTTTCCAATTAAAACCCAAATTAAGTGACCCATGAGTCTAAGGGACGGCGGTTTTCTGCAAATACATTTATTTCTCGCATACGTGGAAATCTAGGCTAGTCAAGGCTTCTAACAATAATTTAACTTCTTCGTAAACTTAAACTCACATAAAACCATGAAGAAATAAAACAGGAGGAGCTTTCAGCCGTGTAAGCTCTTCAGGATTGTTGAAAATAATTTTATGTTCACGTTTCAAAAGGTTATGAACGGTCTAAAATAAATGAAGAGATAAAATAATATGAAACGCGTTGATTGGTGGGAATACCAATTGTTATTCATTTCGCCATTTGTAATACTCTAAAAATAAGTAAAAGAATAAATTATATACATATTAAGATTTAATTATTTTACTCATAATGTATATAACAATTTAAATAAAAAATTTTGATGTAATATTGACTTTATGAATAAAATTTTTGTTTCACAATGCTGTAATCTTTATTTTCACAATAGTTAGGCGTTTGGTTTCCATATAGGGGATTGCGGTTGAAAACTGCTGGGGATAACTCTCTCCGTCTCTTTTTTTAAAACATTGACTTTACTTTAGGATCACATTATCCTGTGCTGTAAGGATGCTGTAGACAAACACCTAGATACGAAACAACTGTATGTTGGTTACACAAATAGTTGTTGGGTTCGAACCCACGACCCCCGACGCCGAAGCCAATACCTTGGTAACTGCGCCCTGATACCCTCTTTGCAAAGGAGGTTTTTTCCCCAGCAATGGGACATTTATAGGTTATTACTTTATTCTTTTTATTAACAGTAGTCACTGTTAAAGTACCATAGAATCTTAAAACAAAAATATAAAACAAAAAAAGAAGAAGAACAGCTATTGGTGCATTAAATAAAACCTAAACAGCATTTGCAAGTAAGCAATCTTTGAATCACCCTTGTTTACAATGAAATAACAAATTAAACAAAGAATCACTTTGTTCTGAATTCTGGAAGTCTTTGTTGCGTTCAGGAAAATATAGAATGTGGAATTTGATTAGATTTTAACTACCTTAAGTTTTGAAGAGGCAGAGACATTATTACAATATAGATACTGAAAAAGTATAAGTTTTTGTATCAACAACCACAGTTCAACAGCTACATCAATACCACATACCACAACTACAAAGGTACATAGTTCACACATATACGCTATATATATAAAATACAACCTTATTTGTTCCAATGCTATATAAATGGAACTGATGGTAAGATAAATTCATATTCTTCTTATCTTTACTTTTTTATGTGAAAAGGTAGCAAAGAGGTGGCGGTTCACCCGATGTTAAGTGACCGCCGCCCATTGATATTTGTAACACGTATAGGGTTGCAGATGCGTAGCTGCCTTTTAATTAAGTTGACCCCGGTTACCTCACTCACCAGACGAGTTATAATATTTCCGCTTCACGCCGGTCTTCTGTGAGGTCGTTGAACTTCCCCGGATGGACATGCCCATTCGTGCAACAGCGAGGACTGTGGCGTGGTCCTATCACAGTCAACCTACAATCACCCGAGTAAACATTAAATTAGTTAGTCAGTTAATTTAAATACAAATTAACCGATATGATGGACGGAGGAATCCTGACCAACATTGATTAATGTAACTGATGAAAGGATTCGACGAAGGACGCGATTGAACTATCTGCTATTAGAAAAATAGCGTTTTTGAACGCAAATAGACGAACAGTATATCGTAAATCTACAAAGTATTATTTCATAACTATGACATTACAAAACAGAAATTTAAATGTAATTATATAATAAATAATTGCTGGTGCGTACCAAATCAAAATTTGTTACTTTTGATTTGGTACTCACAAGTTTACACACTACACATACTCACACGGCACTTATACATACATACCTTTAGTCACAACTTTTGCTCAAAACATACAACCTCTTTTACGAGTTATTTTGTTTAAATCTTAGTTACAATGTTCTGTAATCTAATCTTAATATTAACATTACATCTATATTTTTACCAATATAATTGGATCGATAAAACTTAGTGCTTCTTTAGTCTCCCTGGAAATTTTTGTTGGCATGCTTGATTGTCGATCACCTCTTGACTTGACTTTTAGGAGTACCTAGGAGTTGTCATAATACTAGATCAGTGTGTTTCCTCAATTCACCAACTTGCTATCGACTCATCTACTAAGTTATTAAAGCTAGGAGGATCCAATCTAGGTCGTGACTGCTATTTATGTCGCATCACTATTCAACGTTAGAGCTGTTCTCGAATCCACGCACGGCGCAGAATCGCCTGGTACCTGCCATTCAGCGTTGAAAGCCTGCCGTGAAAACGTCTGCCGGAGTCCATTAAAATGTAAGTGATTGAAAATATTATATGGCTATTAGCGATTGAGCGATTGAAAGTTAAATAAAATCTTTTGTTAAACAGCTTGTGCGATGTTTAATTCTACGTTTTAATACATTTTCTCGTGATATGATCATAAATATGGATGCTGGTGCAACAGTTGCATAGGGCAATATGTCAATAATAATTAGGTGCGGATGCTGTAAAGCGCACGCGCGTACGGGTTTTATCACAAAGGAAGAACAGAAAATCGATTTTTATGTTCAGAAGATATCTTAATCCATACAAACAAAGAGTAACACCTGTTGCATAAAAAGAGTTCCTTGTATAAAGGAAAAACAAACGAAGCAGTTGAACATTTTGTACCGTAATATAGATTTTAATTTGTTCAGCAACTTGTCTTATAGGCAGCCGCAGTTGTCATCAATACCTACTCTAGTTATTTAGTTTTTATGGCGATTTAGCAGTTTTCCACATTATTTTCATACTATATGGAAGGGATATCCATCCCTTTCAAAACATAATTTTGCTGTATCGCTGAGCGAGTCGTGATGTGGTGTAACCGGATCTAATCAAACAGAATATATCTTTTATAAATTTATCAAATAATATAAGAGCATAAATGAAAAAACAAAACAAATGAACGTTACATGAATTTCTTTATGTAATGTACATTATATACTTATAAATTAATACGTGAAGCAAAAACTTTGTACCCCTTTACGAACTTACGAAAATTGGGCGCACGTAGGAGTGTGAAATTTCTCACACTTATTGTTTATATAGAGAAAGAGTGCACAATGCTAATATTTTTTATATTATGAATAAAATTACATTAAATTAATATAGAAATCATTCCAAACACTACCATGTATTTGACAAACACACGCATAGGTATATACTACTTTGTTTATTGCGTATTTTGTGTATTGTATTCGAGAATAGATTAATATTGTTTAAAATTATAATTTAAATCAATTATGGTGATTCATAAGTGGCAGTAATCACATACCTAAATCAGATGAACCACATGCTCGCTAAGAAACTTTTCACATAAAAATAAAATTGACGATGGTTGTTTTATTTTATTGAGCAACAAAATCTGATTTCATTCATGATGGTGTATGAAAAAAGTAACCTTTCACTTAGTGGTATTAAATTCTCCGCGTTAACCTGAAAACATTTCTTAATACCATCATCATTATTACCTAGGTGGGGTTGGGACAACGTGGGAATGTTGAAAGCGGGTACGGCTATGTCTTCACGACCGACCGTCTTCCTGAGGTCAACACGAACAAATATCTGTGGGTCACACAAATACTTTCCCGTGTGGAAATCGAACCCACGACCCCCTACGTCGAAGCCAACAGCTTAGTGTTAACAGCTTGGTATAAACGGCGCCACCGTTTCTATCAATACACACTTAATATTTGTAATAAAAATAGAAAAACGGTGTTTTCAATGTTTTGTTAGGCTAATAAGTTGACTACGTCAAATGAAGTACTTAGGAATGCTTTCTACGCCATTTGCTAAGGTACTCATTATTATATTTTGCCAGCTTAAAACATATAAAACATATGTTGTTATATTATCGACATGTAACATACATTCTAAAAGCATTGCTTATTTCACTGACCGCAGACGACTATCCTAGTATTGGGTTTATGTAATAAAAACATAGAAATTATCTTATGCCTGTCAAATGACCACAAACGATAGTTTCAGGAAAAACGTGACAAAGATGGCCGACGTGGAATCTTTCGACTGGGCGGACATGAAGAAGACGGGTATGATGACCACTTCCGTCGCAATGGTAAGGATTAATTACCTCGTAACTATAGTATAGTGAGATCGTAAGCACTGTTACATCCTAATTTAATTTAAATTCAGGATACTGGCTAGAAACGTTTGACCGGATTTTGAGTAAGGGTCTTTAGCACCATCTTGGATTTTTTTTTGCATTGGAAAGAATGAAGAGGGCGCAAAGGAAGACAGAGGCACGGTTATTGCGCTACACGGTTTTGGTTGTATGCTAAATGGTTTTTTTTTTATGTGAAAAGTTGCCAAGCGAGCAGACGGTTCACCTGATGTTAAGTGAATACCGCCGCCGATGGACATCCGCTACCCGAGGGTTGCAGACGTGTTGACAACCTTTTGAAAATTGGGTTTGAAAAATAAATCTGCATTTGGAAATATCGGTGAGGTTCGTATATAGTACATTCAAGTGATTTGGATAAAGGGATGTCTGACCAGTGACCACATACGGTTTAGATAGTAGAAGGCGACCAAGCAGTGTGGCCGCGAATCCAACTAGGCCCTGTAAACAAATATATCAAATACCCTGTTTCTCTAGATGAGCAGCTTAAGAATCAAAGCTCCGGGCTTTAAAAAGAAGATACGGAGGAGAATATACTGCGTGATGAATGGATACCTGTTTGTCCATCACACATAAAAGGATAATCACTTTTTGCAAAATCTTTTTTTCGAATGATTTTTTTTTAACTTTGAACAAAAATACAACAAACAAAATAAAGCGAGGTGTATTTCTAGAATCCAGCGTGGGTATTGATAATTTGGCGTGGATATTCTTTATTTATGGTTTTGTTTGGAGTCTCGTATTCAGATCTACATAAACACTAGCTGCTGCCCGCGACTACGTCTGCGTAGAATATGCTGAAGGCGTAACAGACGGAAAGACAGATATACATTATGTATATAAATTATAGCCTATGTCTTATTCGTATAAGCTATGTTATTGTAAAGTTTCATTAAAACCCAATCAGTAGAATTTGCGTGAAAGAGTAACAAACATCCATACATACAGACTTTCGCCTTTATGATATTAGTAAGGATTATAATTATAGATCTGATAAAATAATCTCACTAATCGCGCGTTAAATGTTTATTTTCTCCCCTTGTTACAGCTATATCAACTGTATGATGCGGTGACGTCAGTACTACCATACAATGGCAATAACTACTTCAAGCTCGAGCCCAACGAGCAGCTCGTGTTAGACTTTGCTAACATCGTTGTTCCCATAATTGCGCTCATGACGATTCTTTGCTTGTCCCTGATGTTCATCGGTAATTTAGAGGTGCGAGATACTGCCTACGCGAGAGGCGAGACATTATATGCTGGTTTTACTAGTGTGGGTCAAGGGGAACTTCGGTGGTATTATAACTGCTTTAAGCTCAAAAACATTGATGACGTTGCGCAACCGAACCCAATGGTATCTTAACGTACCGTGGTGTGTCAAACTTTTTGAGTATTGCAAGTAACAGCCAATACATGTCCCACTGTTGGGCAAAGGCCTCTTTACAGAGGGTATCAGGGCATAGTCCTGGTGGACTATGCCCTGATACCCTCTGTAAAGAGGGCCGCGGCCCCACTGCGGATTGGCGCACTTCACATATCTTCGAAATATTTTTTTTGTTATTATTTCGAAATATGCAGGTTTCCTCACGATGTTTTCCACACTTTTTTTGGACACGTGATAAGTGTGTAAAGTGAGTATTGCAAGGGGTTACGTTATGCAGATTATTACATATTAACACAGCACCAAGGCAGCGCTGGTCTTCACACTGGTCCCTCCAGTCCGAAGGAATGAGTTCACCCTGGAAGGAGCAGCACTGACACCTGTGAGCTAACGTGGGTCGCGACCTGTCGTTGAAGGGAGGTCGGTCTATACGCGAAAACTTGCTCTGGAAATGGGCCTTTGGTTAGCAGGCGTGGAGGTGTCGGTTACTCAGCATATGAATCGTGAGAGTTGCTGTGTCTACGACCATCGACAAACCACTTTATGTACCCCAAAGCTCATCTACCAGATGGCGGTGGACCCCTAAAAATTTTATATATGTATATCCAAAGAGGTTATATTATTAGTACACACATACTATTTGCGAAAAGAGTTTTTCCCCAAACCAATATATCATCTGTGCAAATTTCAACTGTCTAATTATCAAGGTACATGAGATACAGCTTGGTGATAGACGGACAGACAGACAGACAGACAGTCAAACAGACGGACTGATAGCGGTCTAAGTAATAGCATCCGTTTTTCCATTCGGTACGCACGGTGTTTTTAACCCTAAAACTCTTCGCGCCTATGTTACAGGTGAATCAATAATAATTTCGTTTAATGTCAATATAATTTCAATTTGCATTTTCAGGACGACCGCCAGACCATCACTATCTACTTGTGGATTGCCACTCCCACGGTGATATTATACATCTGTTTCTTCGTCGTCTTTGAATTGCAGTTCGGTCCGGACAAGTTTACCATGTTTCAACGGACCCTTAGTATTTGTACGAACACGTTTTTTTTTATTAAAATTATATCATACACTTAGATCTGATTAATGGATGAATGAAATGAGATATTGTATGGAGATATTGTATTGTAAGAGCACGGTCGACACAGTGGCTGGAATGTTCCATGTTCGAGTGCCAGTAGCGTGAATCAATGAATTTTCTAAACATCCTAATGTACATTTTTGTGATATAGTCAGCACCTTGCAATAGCATTAGGGAGCGTTTGAAGCTTATGTAATATAATACTTTTTATCTTTGCCAAGAAATGAATTGAGTATACTCAAGGGATAACATCTACGTTTAGACGAACACCACAAATCTTGCAACAAAATTCTTATCTCGTTGTATTTGTTACTTGTCCTTTTCCGTTATCCTTTTCTCATTAGAGATGGTACCGAAGGACTAAGCTGCACTCAATGGTATGCAATCACCGCCGCTCATGGCCATTTACGACATTAAGTCAGCTAGTAAAGAAAGGCAGCATCTCCACTTAATCTGCATAGTTACATCACTTACCGGAAGAAACAAAAGTGGAAATTTATTTAGAACGTTGTAATTTCCTTAACATTGCAAAGGTTAGGTTAATGAGAAATAATTCATAAAACATACTGTGTCGGAACGAATGTATGCTTTCATGCTGCATAAACTTTTTATAGAAAAGTTGTAAAAATAAAATCAATGTCAATTTCCAAATTGAATAATCATTTTTGTCTGTATTTCAGCTGTCTGCGCCATATACTTACACATCCTCGTGGAACTTCTGGATAAAACTCCGTCCAAATAAAGTGGCTACTAAAGCATGGTGATGAAAATCTGACATCAAATTGTTCCACCAATTTCTATTATATACAATATCTTTAAGGAAATGCATCCAGTGTTTCCAATCTTAATGTAGTGATGTTTTTGAAATGTATGTTTCATTGATGAAATAAACTTGTGTAATGGAATACTCAAATTAATTATAATCCTACTTTTTAATTTGTTTTTGATAAAAGAAACTGCTGGTCGAACTCAGACGGCGACTGTTTCTCAACTGCTAGAAAAATATGCTCTCCTAATAGGTTATGATATATAGACACGTTAGACTGAAAGTGCCTAATTTTTGAAAAGTTGCCAAGCGAGCAGACAGTTCACCTGATGTTAAGTGAATACCGCCACTCATGGAAACCTGCTACACCCGAGGGTTGCAGATGCGTTGACCACCTTTTGAAAATTGGGCTCCGGCCACCTCACTCACCAAACGAAACGCGAAAGTATTATACCTCCACTTTACGCTGGTCTTCTGCGAGGTCGTGGTACTTACCCGGACGAGCCAGCCTATTCGTGCAACAGCCGAGGCTGCTGCGTGGCCCTACCACCGTAAAAGTATACTGTTTGTTAATATACCACAAATATAATTATAAACCTCAAAAATTGTAATAGCCTAATTTATACCAGACGGATGGCGACAATACATTTTATAAAGGAGTCCTGCGTGGGAGAAAGTTTCTCAACTAGTATTATCTGCCAGTAATCAAAGTGTTGTTGATTGTTCATTTGCCAATCTACGGCCACCAATGAAAAATTTCCCCGTTATAACATGAATTTATAATAAGCTCTAATAATCTTTGTGATTACATCTTTATTTTTCAAGTGAGAAGTTAGCAATCGAGCAGACTGTAAACCGATGTTATTGTAAACTTGTTTGTCATGGGTTAATTATTTTACTAGTTAATTACTTACATTAAAATCGTTAAATACATACCTTCGTATCGAGATGAACGCATAATTTAACGAGTTCTGCTCGTGTACTGCCACTAATTTATAGTACGGAAAACTTGTGTTATACACACATAATAAAAAAAATACAATAATAAACACATAAATACAAATAAATTCATCTGATTTAAAACCAGTGCAAGGAGTCTACAAAGAATCGTCCACCCGCACAGCGATTGCTGACTCTCCACATTACGTGAGCGTATTATGGCAACAACGAAATGGTTCTTCGACAGGGAGTCAAAGACGAGCGCTGCATTAAGACTGTTTTATTAATTCTTTTGCCATCCACCCTCAACAGGCTAATACATAATACTATGACAATTCCATTTTTCTTAAAAAAAAATATAAAAAAAGCTTATATTGTAGGTATTTATACATATAGGTACAGTACTTGTAGGCGTGATAAATTCACAAGTTGTATAATTATGTACTGTCTTCCAGAATCATGCTAGACAAAACAAATTAACGCTTCCGTATCTCCTAAGTACTTACATGAATTTAATTCAATCCATTAATGTGTAGAAATCATTAGTTTATAGATCATTCATTAAACATTCATTTAATATAATTTAAACATTTATTGAAATTTATTAAAAATTCATTAATTATTAAATATATTACGAATATATCCTACATACTAAATAAATTTAATTCGACTCATTACTCTGTATAAATAATTAATTTATTGAAAATTTATTAAGGTTTAAACAATTCATTGGCTTAAATCAATGATATTTTATATCAATTGAAGTTTCTTCCCATTTCTCTTTATTATTTTGTGCATTTTGAAGGAGAGATTTGTCATATTTAATTTTTAAATTTCGTAGAAGGGCATTGCAAAAGCTGAGATCAGCTTCAATGAAAAATTCAATCAATACCGTTTGTATGTTAATATTAAAATGTTATTTTCTGAATCTTGCCTAAGTTTTTGGTGGAATCTGTCCCTGTTATGGATGCAGCGAATTGCCCCTGGTGTAATGCATGGTTTTAGTATCCTTATGTCTAGTTATTAAAGGATTTTTAGTATAATGTTTTAAATTTGAGTATAGTTTTGCAACAAAAAGAGTGCTAGCAATATCGGCGTTTCAATTTGGATTGATGAACGAAAAGTCAATTGAAGTGAGATGTGCAAGTGCTGGAGCAAAATCTGTTTTGGTGATATGAGTGGTTTTCTGGTGTTTCCTGGTATTAAATATAAAATTGATAATGACAGAGTAGTGGGCCGAAATAGTTTTTTTACAACATAGATCGAAGTAGAAAAAGCCAAATACCGCATTAAAACCCGTTGCGTAGTTTAAAAGATATAAGCGAACAACCATCGGGATCGACTTTGTTTTATACTATGTAATAAAGATATGTTTTGAAACAACAATCATTACATCAAAAATCTGATATTTTAAGAAATATCAGTTTCGTAGTACACTATACTTCACAACAAGATCCATAAATTTCACTCAGGTCAGTTAGTATAACATGTTACAGTTCTATACAGCACCAAATATATGGAATAAAAAATACAGCTCCAAACTTTAGAAATTCAGAAAATAGAATTAATTGATGCTTAGAAACAGACTGTCTTAGGAAATAGTATAAGTTATTTATATTTCTAAGCTTATATATGACGAAAAGCAGCAATTAAACAGTAACATTTTAATATTTTCTACTTTATTCTTTATTTATTGACAATTAAAATTGAAACCAACATCACTTCATTAATAAAAAGGTATTCATCACTACATAGTATAAAACAAAGTCGTCCCGCTGTCTGTCTGTCCCTGTGTATGCTTAGATCTTTAAAACTACGCAATGGATCTTGATACGGTTTAATTTTCTTGATGGTTATTTTTTACTAAATAGAGTGATTCAAGAGGAAGGATTAAATGTATAATAAAATATACATAAAATACATTGCACCCGTGCGAAGCTGGGGCGGGTCGCTAGTTTGGTATAATTGTAAATATAACGCTAGGTGACGCCTCGTTGCTCGTAAGTAAGTCGTAAGTAACGAATATATAACGAAATGGGCCTATTTTGACTTATTTATTGATTCTAAGCTAAAAAAACAAAAAAATCTTAACTTGGGATTTTTTAAGTAAAAAAACATTCAAATTTCACCACAATTGATTGATTTTCTAACCTCAATTGCATTATGAAAATATCGTGGCTGTCAGTGGCGTTGTCGAGCCAGAACGCTCCGGAACGTCGTTCCGGTACTTCCTTTTTGGATAGGAACGCGTTCCGGAACTAAGAAAAAAGGATGGTTTCTGATAACGAGAATTGGCAGACGTTTAGAGATTATATTTGTTTGAGTATCTACTATGCGTATTTTATAATTTGTTAACTAATTTTTGTTAAACGTTCCTATTATTGTAATAAACATATATTTAAATATACAAATACACAAAATGGGTCTCGTAATGATTTTCGTTTCCTTTCCTTTTTATGCTATATATAGGGCCGATCCTGGCGACGGGCGAAAATTAGGGGAAATCTCCCCCTTCCCCCGTCGTCAAATTTGGGACATGAGTACGTTTTGGGTTGTTAGAGCAAACAAGCCTGTATAATTCTAAAAAGAGTCAACAATATGGCATCCAAAACTGACAAACTTCTTCAATCCATTTTCAACGAAGAATATTCCATTTTCAATAAGGTTCAAGAAAATATTTTATTATCTATAGGGTTAATTTGACAAACAGTTTTGTGGTATCGTGCTGTTATTTGTATCATTCCATTCATCATGGTCTAAATACAGATCTGCTAGGCACTATGTGTTTACGTAACCGTTCACCAAAGTAGTTTGCACACTTGGTTCCACAAGTAATTTACGAGTATTCCTTCATAAATTGCAATTAATTGATTTCATTTTAAATTCAGTTCCACGATATTCTTCGAATTGCTAATAAATACTTTGTTTATTCACGTGCTCGTAGAACATTGAATTTCTTAAACAATAGATTGTAGTTAAACTCACTTTTCTCTTTAACTTGCTCATTAAGTAACAGTTAACAAATCTTAATTGAACATTATGTATCCTAGTCATGGCCTTAACTAATTACAGAATTCACGAGAGCGTAGTACAGAATGCGTAAAGTTCTTTTATTAACTACACTTTTAAGGTGTACAAACTCGCATAATATCGATCGGATTTATTAAATACCCGTTCTATATGGAAATTAAAACTAAACTTAATATCTATGGATAACTAGATATTTGTAATATCAACAAGCTCAATCGATTTACAACCACATACATTGTTCATTCCTGTGCAAGCAATCATACGAATGGCCTACGATATTTCTAGGTGGACTTGGTACAAATATTGTATAATCGTATATGCTAGTTATATAAATAACAGTACCCGACCGAGCTTTGCTCGGTTTGTTTTATTTTGGTAAATCGTGTGTTTTGGAAATTACATTTAGATATAAATAACTGAGTAATGAAATATGCATAATATTTTTCGATCTTACCGACTTAATAATAAGAAAATAAGAACTGATGTTTTTCACAAAAGAAAGAACTTAAAAAAAAAGGGAAAAAAATTACAAAATAAGAAATCGACAAAAAATTAAAAATAAAGAAAGGAATGATCTGGAATCGAAAAAATAAAGTAAAAAAATTAATGTGTAAATGATCGTGACGCGAACCTCGGCCGTCTGTTTTGGGGCCGCCCGATTACCGACCGAGCTATTATGACATTTTCTCTTGCGGCGAAATTTACCGTCATATTCGAATTATATTTTTCATTCCCTGAAAACAGGGATAAAAGGACATTTTCTAAAAATGAAACCTAGCTAGATCGATTTTTCGCCCCCGAATCTATGCACATACTAAATTTCATGAAAATCGCTGGAGCCGTTTCCGAGATTCCGATTACATATATATATATATATATATATATATACAAGAATTGTTCGTTTAAAGGATAAGAAGATAGTAGATAAAAAATCTTACCTATGGGCCGTAAAGAATGGTTTGTAAATTAATCTATGAATTCTTTTTGTCTTAAACTGTACGATGACCTATTAACGGTAAGTAAAAATCAGCCTCTACATATCCCTCTTTTGTTTTAAAACATTGCACCCTTACTGTAGTATAACATTTTCATGTGTTGTAAGGGCGTCTTATACAGCGTGTCTTTACAATCGCGACAATAAATGAAGACATATAGAGGATACCTAACTTTTTAAAATTGTATTAAACATTTACATTCTTTAAGCATCAATATTTACCAAGTTATTAAATTTTCCAAAACAAACAATTTTAGAACACCTTTACGTATAAAATTGAAACGTAAAGTACATTTGTAAATGTCACAAAGCATATGAATGGGTTGAATGAATTTAAAAGAGATAAAACATACTGTTAGAATGAGAGGCAAGTAATGCGACACTGTGGCAACGAATGAAAAAGTCTCTGAATGTAGAATCAGCCAGTTGTAGTTGTATAGGATGTTACAAATTTTGTTTCTTTTTTAGTTAATTAGTTTGTTTGAAAAAAAAAATAATTATGGATTTTTTTTAACGTAAATATTTTTTATGATTATGGGTAAGTAGCGTTAGTCGTGTGTTCATTTATTGTCGCGATGGTAACGACACGCTGAATAAGTAAATTGCACGTGGACACACACTGAGAATCTGAAACAATTATCTGTGGGTTACACTGTAAATTAGTACAATAGTGTAATAAATGTCTCGTGTGGGAATCGAAACCACGACCCCCAGCGCCGAGGCCAATACCTTGGCAACTGCGCCACATAGTCATTAAAATCCACTGTTGGCAAAAAATGCCCACTGCATTAGTAAAATTCACGTTGTTTCTATAACATCGTAGTTACTTGAGTGTCGAACCTAAGACAGCGTGTAAGACTGCAAAAATATTATCATAAAATCTAGATTCAGAGGGTTTACTCCCAACTCCCGATGAGTCTTCACGATGTAACTAAACACCTATCGCAAACCTGGCAGCTCTAGCTCCCAAGATACAAGCACTGCTTAGTTTGGGATCCATTGTTAATGTTTCGTAGTTTGAGGTTAGTTACAAAATTTTGTTTTAATTTTCATTACTATCTTCTTATTTTTAAGACATGTATTGTAACTTACTTTTGCATCTACTTAGATGAATAAATAAATAAATAAATAAACTCCCTACTCTTTATCAATTCGACCAATAAGTTACTAAAAGCGCGTTACTTCGGTGATAGCTTCGATTTACGCCGCGAATGCTATTTAGGGCGCATCACTATTCAGCGTTGTCGTTCTTCTAGCACCCGCGGCGCAGAATCGCCCGCTACCTGATATACAGTGGTGGAACTGCTGCCGTGAGAGCGTCTGCTGGATTCAATTCAAATGTAAGGCATTTTATCAATAACATATCTAAAACTGATTGAGCGATTGGAAATATTTAATTATTAGTCTGTCATTAAGATTTGCTAATTTAATGTTGCGAGGTAATACACGGATGCTGGTGCAACTTTACAAAGGGTATTACTATCGAATGCTATTAGGCGCAAGCGCGTTTAGATTCGATTCATTTTAAACAAAGGTATCCTTCATTTTGTTTTTCGGAATCTTCTTCTTCTTCGGGAATTGAGGAATTCTCATTTATCACAAAAGTAGATAGCATAGTTCACTTAAAACGGAATAAAAAGCTAGAAGATAGATAAAAAATGATTTTTTATCATCTTATTTCGAGGTCTCTTTAAGTTGATTAATGCTGAACTCCCCAAACTTCTTTCTTCTTCTTTAAAAAAAAAACATTGTCATTGCTTTAGGATGAAAATATCACGTGTAAGAAAGTTTTGCAAACATACATTTTCCGTAGACAAAACAGCCAATTCCTTGGCAATTGCGCCACGGAGTCATCATAATAATTATCATCGTTCTGAGTGTGGGTTAATAATCGCATAAATTTTTTAAATAAATATTACACTCAAGATAAAATTGATGACGTCAATTCAGGGCAAATTTTATCTATACGACTTGTCCATGTTAATTTACTGTCCATTATTAAGCGCAAATACGTTTTTCGCAAAGATTTTTTAATATAAGTAGGTGGCACCACTTACTATCAATTAACATCAGGTAAACCCGCTCGCTTACTTCTCATATAAAATAATAAAGTATCTATTGTGAGGAAGTCCCATGATAATGAATACATTTTAACCAAAAGTAATACTTATTATATATCATTTATAATATACATTAGCAGCATTTTTAATACTTCATTCTCGTGATCCTCGACGAACGAAGTAGCTTGGCAACTGCACAACTGAGCCATCTTGTAGAAATTTATTGAATTACATGTTCTAGACATATCTTATATTCATACAAATAAAACTTATACTTTTTGTTTGAAAAAAGTTCATTCCATAATGGAAAATCATAATAAGCGTTCTGTATTTCAGACCACCTTCCTTTACTTACTTAGGTTCTTATTAAATTCAACATAAAATTGGTTAAACCTCCCGTTTCTATTGCTCTATATGTACAAGAGCAACGTAAGGGCGAATCAAATTATAATAATTACATAACCAACAAAATATTAACTAAAAGACCATAGTGTTTTCATTTTAACTCCCAGCCAAAAAATACTGGCTCTCTGTTTATAATCGCTTGTTTATATAGTGTACTTGGCTATTGTATTTTTTTTTTCACAATAAAACTATAGCTAAATGAAATAGTTTCAGAAAAATCATGATGCGCCAGCAGCAACCTTTGGACTGGGACACGTTCAGGAACTCGAGTTTCTTGCTCACCAACATGTCATCGGTAAGTTGTACCTTCTATACAGGGCGGCTTTTCTTAGTGTATCCATTTTTTTTTTAATTAAATTCTAGACATGAATAAAGTAATATAAAAAAAATGATAAATATTTTAAATCACTTGTAAGTAATTAATTACATTTGAAATTATCTCAAAATGTGCCTGATTTATACGCAACTCATTTATTTTACGCGCGATCATTCATAACTTAACACGCACACAAGTTCGTTTGTGTGCGTGAACAGTTTAATTTAGGTATATTTATGAATGACTACCGCGTTGTTAACAAGTTATGTTTTTTAGGGAATAGAATGGGATGTTTTGAAAAAAAAGGTTGTTTTTATTTCAATATATATTCAATTAACGATTATAGTATCGAGTCTGAACCTCCTGTGTAAATTTGGGCATCTTTAAAAAAGTCTCCCTGTTTACTGTCTGGCGGGTGATGAGATCTGTAGCTGATTTTTGAATTCATATTTTGGTTAATACCAGAAATGTTTAAACTAACGTAAACTGAAGAAGGATCTCTTACGGCATCTTTAAAAAACCGGTCAAGAGCGTGTCGGACTCGCGCACGAAGGGTTTCTGAGTTTTTGTTTTTTTCTTTAATTTATTGTTATAGCGCCAACAGAAATACGTCATCTGTGGAAATTTCAACTGTCTATCACGGTTCATGAGATACAACCTGGCGAGAAACGGACAGACAGACAGACTGTGCAGTCTTATTAATAGGGTCCACATCAGCGTACGGAACCCCAAAGAAAGAAAATGATTTTGTTGCATTTACAAAACTGGAGGAGATGCAAAGGTGGACAATGCAAGGTTATGCAATGCACGGTGACACGCCAACGGAGTTATTAAAATTTTCTGCAAAATTTCAATACAATGCTGAATTTTGCGTTGATAATTTGTGCCCAACACACTGAGGAAGAAAGCAGATTTATCCCGAGAAACTATCTGTGAAAATAAGCGTTGTGTTATCCAAATACCCTTTTTACAAATGTTCGAGGATATAGCTCACACTAAACCTCATGAATTTGGAGTCTTTCAAAGCATCCCTAATTAAAGAAGTATACCACTTACATATATGTAGTAGGTAGTAGGTAGTAGGTATATGTATAAATCAGAGTAGACAAAATCTAACCTGTCATAAAAGGTTTAAAAGTTAACCGATGAATCCCTTTTTTGTCATAAAACCTACGACTAGCTCTATCTAAAGAAGTTTTTTTTTAAATATCTTCGAAACGGTTCTTCAATTACATGCAGACTATACGAGATACTTATTTATTTCTGCAACAAAAGGTAGCTGACAAGTTAACAATGCTGACAGTCTTTTTTCTAAATATAAGAGTGACTCAGAAAATAGTGATAAAATCGGCCAAATGCGATTCGGACTAACGCACGGGGTTCCGTACCATTATTTATAAAAACGATAAAAAATCATGCATTCTATTTTTGGTATTTGTCGTTATAGCGGAAACAGAAATACATCATCTGTGAAAATTTCAACTGTCTTACTATCACGGTTTATGAGATACATCCTGGTGACAGACGGATAGAAAAATAGACAGACAGCGGAGTCCTAGGAATAGGGTCTCTACCCTTTGGGTCCGGAACCCTAAAAACGAAGCGCTATCTAGTGGTACGTTGATCCGTATCCGTACCCTATCTATACATTTTGGTCACTTATTGATGTGAAACATCTATAACCGCACGTAAAACCGATTTTTGGCGCGGCGACGCATGCCGTTGCGACGCGTCGCCATGGTATATGATGGTATATATATATATACAGTCTATATGCAGTAGTGTGTACGATTAATTACTTAAATTTAAATTAATTGTTAATAATTATTTATTAATTACTAATTAATTAAATTAACTTTAATTAATTATGTGTACTATTATCGAAGTCACTGATTAAACAAATTAAGTAGTCACGATTTGAAATAATTTCGTAATTTTTTGTATTTAATGAAAATAAATGTTTATTTAATAAATAGTCATCGTTATCTAGAAAAAAAATCGTAATATTTTATTTTATCATTATGACATATTTAGTTCCTATCACAATCTGTTCTTTTCTGCAAATTATTTTTTAGAAAATAATGTCGATGTTTCACATCTGCCAGGCGTCCCGTGACGGCTAATTTTTGTGTATTACTTTAAATCTTAGTGTATATAATTCTTCTGTACGTGTGTATTTCACTGAACTCCTCCTAAACTGCTGGACTGATTTTAATTTTATTATTTGTGTGTCTTCGATTCGAGAATGGTTTAGATTCACAATTCAGAACACTACAACTTTTTCGTTTTCGTATTAAAGTTGTGTGTACAGGGCAACGTCGTCCGCTAGTGTCTTAATATTTTACTAATCGTACAATAAATGTTTATTTTCCTCTCATGTTACAGATCATGCAAAAAGAGGAAGCGTTGTTGGCATTTGTTTTACAGAAATACGCCAAGTTTATGTTCTCCAGCAGCGGCAAAACCGCCATCGGCTGTTCCCTCTCACCCGTCATAGCGGTGATAACATTGGTTTTCATGATCCTGAGTTTGATTGGTCTGCTTAAGGTTGGTTAACAGAAACAACATATTACCATACTAAGTGGGCAAGGGAAACTTCTTATTTTTGCATTATTTCTTCTTATGCATTATTTCTGGTCTAAGCTGCGTGTGTCGTGGGAAGTAAAAACCATTCATTAATCGACGTGCAAACTTGAAATCGCGGATCCGAAAAACGATATGTAATCCATTCCATTTTAAACCAGCGGTTTATAGCGCTGCGAATGAAATATAGAATAAATATGTCCATCTTGGATGGAACAGCGCCGAGATATGTATCGGCCGCGACTTTTTGCTGGAGGAGCGATTAGCATGGAGGTGTCAGTCATTTAAATTAAGACTTTACTGTGTTAGAACCACGCAGTTACTGTGGTAGAGCCACGCAGCAGCCTCGGCTGTAGCACAAATGGGCAGGCTCGTCTGGTAAGTACCACGAACTCACAGAAAACCGGCGTAAAGTGGAAGTATGACAAATACTTTCCCGTTTCGTCTGGTGATTGAGGTAGCCGGAGCCCAATTTTCAAAAGGTTGTCAACGCATCTGTAACCCTCGGGTGTAGCATATGTCCATGGGCGGTGGTATTCACTTAACATCAGGTGAACCGTCTGCTCGCTTGTCAACATTTCACATAAAAAAAAGACTCGTTATGGGTACTGTGTAAATTTCAGACTGACAAGTCACCATATGGCATAACCCACATTGCCCGGAGATTAGCACGTGCCGCACCAATCATTCAGTAAGGTGGCGGTGGACCCATAAAGTATATGTATACGTCCATTGAATACTTTCTTTTCCAGTTTGTAATTTTTTCTTTTTATAAATTACATATTATTGTAGAATGAAAATGTAAAGGAACAGGCTATATATATCTCACTGCTGGGTAAAGACCTCCTCTGTGCAGAGGGTATTAAAGCATAGTTCACCACGCAACCATTTCTGCAGATAATTTTACTGACGTTACAATTTTGTATATCGTAGGTAAGCAGGTGAACCCCTCGAGCTGCTCTTTTTTTTCATTGATATATATCTAATCCATATTTTTTTCGGTAGTCAAGTTTACCGGTGATTCATGTAGATTTCTTTAAAAAATTTTCAACTTTATCGAAACTAAGATATTATCGTCTTTCCGCTGCTGTGACTTTTTTATTTTTCCTGTCGTTGCCTTTGTTTCTACTTTCTATTATTATTTTCATTTCTGGCGTGTATGATTCTGCTTCTGAATATGGCTTCCACTATCTTTACAATTTATTTGATCTATTTTTTATTTTTTTTATTTATTGCATTTGGTAAGTCTGCCGTATTCTGCTTTAAGTTTTACTAACTGTATACACACTACACAAGTAGAAGTGTGATGTTGTCATTATTTAAGTTTTTCCACTTTTAGTCTTGTTATATTCTATAATTTCGTAGTTTAGTTCTTCGGATATACCTAGAGCAGTGAAATAAATAAATTACAACATTTAAAAATGTCATAATGTTATAATCATTATTATATTATTAAATATTATAATAATCATTATATTATTATCAATATCATTATTGTTTCCACTTATTTTTTCAGAAAAGTCGTCAGCTCCTCAATATATACCGATGCTTTTGCGTTTGTGGGTTGATATCGTCCTTCTACTTTTTCATCAACTTTGGAATGCAATGCAACTCAAGACTTGTGGATACGACGAAATGGTTTGCGAGAATATGTGAGATTTTTTCTTATTACAATTCGTACAAAAAATCGTCGAAAACTCACACCGCCGCAAGATACAGATGCTTTAACTACTAAGCTAAATGCTAATTTTCACGCCGGCGAAACTCAAAACGTAGTTTATCATAAAACGCTGCCATTTAATAAAATGAGTATACCGCCAATGACTTTGAATATGACTCCGTGACGCATTACAAAGGTATGCTTCAGAGGGGTCGTGAGTTCGATTCCCGCACGGGATAAATATTTGTGTGACCCACATATATGACGCACAGCGTGGTTCCACGTGGTCTTGTTGTCCCTACCACTAGAGTTAGTCTAAAAATAGGGATCCAGACGCTCGCGTCGATGGTCTTGCTGACGAGGTCTGTAGCGGAGCGAAGGTCGAGTGCGTGAAGCACTCAGGGGCAACATATCGAGAGCGCTTGAAAGAGTTAAATTTGACATTTTCGCTAACGGAAATGTAGCGCTTTTTAGGGTTCCGTACCCAAAGAGTATATTGGTGCATAGTGTGTAGTACTATACTATTACTTTATTTTTTATAGGGGTAAGGCCACGCAACAGTTTTCACTGTTGCACGAATGGCCAGGTTCTTCCGGGTAATTACCACGACCTCACAGAAGACCGGCGTAAAGTAGAAGGGTTACACCTCTGCGTCTCGTCTGGTGAGTGAGGTAGCCGGAGCCCACTTTATTTAAAGATGGCAACGCATTTGAAAACCCTAGGGGTGTTGCAAATGCCCATGGGCGGCGGTTATTACTTAACATCAGGTGAACCGCCAGCCCGTTTGCCATATTTTCACATAAAAAAATACTAAGACTCCGCTATCGGTCTGTCTGTCTTTCCGTCTGTCATCGGCTGTATCTCATGAACCGTGATAGTTAGACAGTTCACAGATGATGTATTTCTGTTGCCGCTATAACAACAAATACTAAAAAACAGAATAAAGAAGTATTCAAGTGGGACATACAACAGACATGATTTTTTTGCCATCTTTATAGGTTTGCCGTTTTATTTACTTTTAACAACGCTTTGTTTTCCCCTTTGGGTCTTCTCATAGTTTTAGAACTATTGGTTATTTTATTGCCTGATTAATTAAATTTGCAATAAGCAACATAGTCCAATAACATATATAGCAGAATTGCATTTCATGTTAGACTGCCACTATATTAATTTTGTCTGTTTTACAGCATTCTGCGCGGTATTCCTCTTGGGACTCCATTGCTACCTAGAGCAATACGAATCTCAAGCAATCTTCCAATAAGCTGGTGAAAATTTGACGACAATCTAGAAATTGAGAAAAGTTCTTTCTAGACATACTACTACTAAATTATAATTTCATTACGCACGGGTGCAATGCTTAATATTAGTTTTCGACATTGCATTAAAACCCTCTAAAATTATCAGTGTTTCTCTACTATATTATCCATGAATTGTACGTATAAACCTTTCTCTTGAATCGCTCTATCTATTAAAGAAAACCGCATCAAAATCCGTTACGTAGTTTCAGAGATTTAAGCATATACAGGGTGGCTTTTCAAAGTGTATCCATTTTTTTATTTAATTCTAGACATAAATAATGTTATATAAAAATGATAAATATTTAAAATTACTCTTAATTAATTAATTACGTAATGTTATTAATTAATTATTACTTTGAACTTATCTCAAAAACTGCGTGACTTAGGTATAGGTAACTCATTAGTTTACGCGCGATCATTCTTAACTAAAATACATGACTGACGTACACAAGTTCGTTTTAAAACTATACGACGCATAAATGTCGACACCTATTTATCTACATTGTGACACGCACGCAACTAAAATCTGTTACTACACGCGTATTATGATACACAAGTAAGTTTATGATTCCAATTTTCCTTTATACTTAGAACGGGCTTAGGACTGTCATAATAAAGTGCATACTAAATTACACACATAAAACATTAAGACATTTTAAAATCACACACCACTGTTCGTATTTATTATGGCGTATTTAAAAAGTGGAATCATCTATTTACAACAATTAAACTTACCTATTCATTTAGTCACAAAAAAATCACTGATATTTTAACAATTGTTCAAAATGGACTCTCCATTCCTCTCAATACAAAACTGAGCACGCTTTCTTAAACTATTTTTAACATGAGTGAGCATTGCATGCGCCGGTGTAGTAAATTGTCCAATATCTAATAACCTTTGGTTGGCTGCCAAAATCGTCCTTCGATTAGGTACACTTGAGTTCATTCTGTCTTTATAAACGCAGTAAATAATCACTTTCATTAAGTCTTTGCGCAACATGTAAACTTTCACCTATTAAATTGTAGCACCGAACCATTCGCGGTTCGAATAACTACTATGTTGTTCCGACATGGTTAGAGATAAGTAAATCTAAAAATAGCACGTGCGGCCGTAATTAGGTCACGGTCAAATTGAAACTAACGAAGGGCTTAGGGGAGCGGCATAGAGCGGTCACCGCGCGTGCTTAGAGGGGTACGAAGTTTTACGACTCAACGCTATTGGACGTTGTGCCGGCGCGGGTGAGACGGACGCGAGAACAGAGAAAGGGTCGTCTCCGATTTATCATCGCGAGCGCTTCGTTTTGCTGCGTGAGTGCACTTGCTGCACAGTATTTACGAATCACTACCGCATTGTCATCAAGTTCTGTGTTTTAAGGAAATAGTATCGCATTTTTTTTTAAATTGTTTTTATTTCAATAAACGATTATACTACCGAGTATGAACCTCGTGTTTAAATTTGGCTACCCTTAGAAAAGCCACCCTGTATAGGGACAGACAGACAGCGGGACAACTTTCTTTTATACTATGTAGTGATGATATCTTGTTGATAAGTATCATCATAGATTAAGACATACTTTATAATCTCAATATGTCAATATTTTTCAAAATATTGTATTTAATTGATGAATAAAGTTTAAATTCAATGAAATACTCGTTTTTATTTAAACATTAATCATGTTCTACCAGATTTTGACATGACTTATAACAACCACAAAAAGCTACGACCACATTTTTTCTTTTTTGTGAGGCTTTGCTAACTGGCAAACTTCCCTCCCGATGGTGAGTGGCAGGCGGCAGGCGTGGAGTTGTCTACCACACAATACTAGGCTCGTGGAGGGGTGCTGTGCTAATTGCACCGGCACAGTACTATTTGACTAGATCGGAGTACATGAGGAGACCCAAGAAGGCCATAGCCGCGTTAGAAGATTGTGTTTTCATGTCCCCGTGTGCCGATGTAACAAATACAGGAGCAGTGTAGGTTTTTCTGTGTTGTTCAATACATAATTTTTGCAGATTTTTCAGGAAAATAAGGCGCATAGCTTAGATGAGCGCCGTGGATGACGCAGGTGCTTAGCACGCCCATGCGCTGTAGAGGGTCAGACTGAAGGTAAGTCAGACTGAAGGTCTGAACATTACTGACATTCTCTGGCACATTACCGTTAGTTCTTTCAAACCCCTGGCCAAAAAAATCTCTCTTTCACCAAGCGAACTGAAGATTTTGTGCCTGGGCGACTGAGGTTGAAAAAAAAATAATAATAGAAAATTTAAATGAAAATTTTAAATTGTTTACACTTAAATTATCGATTTTTAAATAAAATACCATATCTCATATTGAATAACTCAAAGAAAAAACAAACACATTGTCGCATAAGTTTGAGTACCTGGAGTACCTCGGTTCTCCAGGATTACATAATACATACACAAGAATTGCTCGTTTAAAGGATAATATTTGGTCAAAAAATTTAAGCCCATTTATGTAGGTACATTTTCTGTGCAAAACAACCCCTTTTCAAATACAGTTCTTTTGATTTAAAATAGGATCATACTTTAGTGAATTCGTAATTCAAAACGAAAATTCGCACGTACAAAACGAAAATTCCAAAGTAACCTTTGTGATTTTTTTGTACCTTAAAATGTAAAATCAATGGGTTTCTTTTTTAAATATAAAATGTGAAGGATTACGATTGCATTCTAGCGATAAAAAAAAGGATCAGCCTATACATGTCCCACTGTGAGACATGTATAGGCTGATCCTTTTATTCCGGTTGCCTCATCTGTATAGAGGGAATCAGGGCATCGTCCACCACTGCGGATTGTAATATAGGATAAATAAATAAAGAAAATATGCAGGTTTCCTCATGATGTTTTCCTTCACCGCTGAACACGTGATAATTCATCACTTAAAATTAACATCTGAGGAGTCCTTGGATCGTGTTTCCTCCCCCCCCCCCCCCCCCCCCTGTTAGTCAATTGTCCATCTTTCGATAGCAGGGTATTGCAGACTACAGCTGAGCAGACGGCGTCTTCGTGTCGTTATGCACCAGAGTTAACACTTCTTCCGCTGAAGCTATCAAAGCCGCCGGGATAAAAGCAAACTAAACGTAACAATTAACACGTAACATTAAAAACCAACATTTTAAACAGTTTATATTATACACTACTTTATTCTATCGAGGGAACCTTCCCTCCTTATTTTTCAAGAATTGATTTGATTAACCTTATCCAAAACAATTCTTGAAATCATACTTGCTCTGGCATCTTAAATTCATAATCTCCGTTAATCTTAAATCCATAACTCTTACTCCACACGCTAATAGCTGCCAGAATCAGCTCCTAATAGAGCTCATATAGATAAATTAGCTAAAACGTTAAGCGCTGCCGTCTTTGCCATACGCAAGATCAGGCAACTAATAAACGAGGCAACAGCTAAATTATTTGATTATGCTTATTTTCACAGTATTCCGTCTTTTGGTGTATTACTTTGTGCTTCCGCATCCGGTTTAGACACGATATTTGTATTGCAAAAGCAAGCAATACAGGCTCTCTATGACTTGGGTACAGTCTCTTCAGAATATTTTTAAGCAAGTTAACACCTTAATGCTCCCGTCGCTATACATACCTGAGAACATCGTGTATGTACGATATAACATACACCTTTTTACAAAAAAACATACCATCGCGTTGGTGATACGCTGGAAATATCGAGGTTTAGACTAGCTAAAACCAGGAAATCGTTTCTTGGTAGATGTATTAATTTATATAATCAAATAGGTGACAGCCACAAACAATTAAGTGTAAATAATTTGAAACATTTTGTAAAAGCCACCTTAATGGATAGGTCCTATTATAATGCCGAGCAATAAATTGAGGACAAGGATGTGTGGAAATGACTCTTGCTCTGCACTTGCAAGTCTCCTGGCTCCTGCTAATTTTATACTTAAATACTTTTGTGTACATACTGAAATAATTTATAAAGAAAGTAAATAAATATGATCGCAGAGTTTCTTGCCGGTTCTTCTCTTGCAGGTCTAGTTTAGTGAACCGGTGGTAGTTTTTGACATTCAATAAGAGTTTAAAATAAGTCTGTTGAATAAAAATTTTGACTTTTGATGAAAACATACCATCAATGTGCATACGCTGCCGTCAGCCAAAAAGATTGCACCACTTTCAACAGAATGTCATGATCAACAGAATTGAATGCATTACTGAAATCTAATAATACCAACACTTTGAGCTGTATGTTAATGTAACTGCACATTTTAATGTAATCGCTCCTATGGCACAAACAAGACAGTGCTGTGAATACCTTTGCGTTTTAGACGTTTCACTACTCAACGACGTCTCGCTCGACAACGTTGTTAGAGACACTCCATAAATTAAACCCAGACCTTAGGTCGGTACTGTGTTAGCTCTGCTAGAAAGCCAGTGAGTATCTTCCGACCAAAACTGTAGTGAACTGGCATTTTCAACCTCAAGATCTCGGATTAATCCCCATGTGTCGAAAACCTGATGCGATAGTTACACCCGATGACGCTAGTCAGGCTGTAGTAAGTCTCCATTATTGAATCACCACGGCCGTCGCAGAATTAACCGGTGCTTTAACTTTCCACCTGACTAGGTCTAATTAGAAAAAAACGGCAACATCTCATTTTTTTTTTTATGCGAAAAGTTGTCAAACGAGCAGACGGTTCACCTGATGTTAAGTGAATACCGCCGCCCATGGACATCTGCTACACTCGAGGGTTACAGATGCGTTGACAACCTTTTGAAAATTGGGCTCCGGCTACCTCACTCACCAGACGAAACGCGAAAGTATTTGTCATACTTCCACTTTACGCCGGTCTTCTGTGAGGTCGTGGTACTTACCCGGACGGGTCTGCTCATTCGTGCAACAGCCGAGGCTGCTGCGTGGCCCTACCACCGTAAATACATCTCATACATACAACATACAACACCTCACTAGAAGACCTCGATGACTCCGAAAAAGCTGAATGCTTGGAGGACAATCTAGAGATTCTAAGTAAACGCTAACTCACGAACACGTCCATCCAGAAATTGTTATAAATGCCATTGTTGCTCTTTTTAAATCTTATGAAAGGCCAGAATTATTTCAAATTGATTCTAATATGAATCTCAGATCTTAAGATTTATATGTCCTAACATTATATCATTAATGTTTTAACAGATTTAGAATATTAGAATCACACAATCTACCGTAGATCTTTATTAAAGTTGTTTTCCTATTAATAATGTTAAAAGGTAATTTATAATATATAGCGACTACCATCACGTTTTAAAGTATTTTTGGGAAAATATTCTACATGTGTCAATTAACTTGTATAAAATTTACACCGTTCTTATTGATAATACAGTTATAACTCGTACATATAAGTTATTTTAGATTTTAAGATATATTTTTAAGTTTTTCAAAGCCGGGCACCCCACTAATTTAAACATTTTCCACTGTCTACTAATTCGTCAATCTTGGCATTTTTGACATCCACTTAATCGTCTTTTAACAACTGAATCTGCATTTCCGATACCTTTCTGAACAGTATGCTGTTCAAAATACCATCCTGAGCGACGCTATTTACAAAAAAAAAATTGAGTAGTTTAACTACTTGTATTGTCTTGTTTGTACTGCAGGCAGCTACAGAAATAGCATTAATAGATCTTGTTGCGGCTAATTCCTAACACCGGTTATGATGATATAAATGATAATCAAATTTATTAGTACACTTTATTAAGAAATTGATATAATAATATAAAATACAATGATAGATTAAGATATGATAGATTAAGATATTATAAATTTTGCGTGTGGTATGCTTTGCATGTATAATTATTACTACAAATTCGTAGATTTTAGGTTAAAATTTCTATTCTGTTCGGTTCAACAGTGAACCGAACAGATCTCAAGGAGAGTAGTTTTTGCGGAGAGAGCTAACATTTTTCTCCATAGCATTAAAAACACTATCAAGTACATTTTTTTATTCTGAACCCTTAATCTTAGTAGTACCACTAACTACAATGGTGATAGAATGTGTTCCTCGAAGTGGCAAATGCCAAAGATCCGACCTAAAAAAAAATATTTTCTAGTAAATATTTTCTATTAGAATTGTTTTTATATTTTTTTAAGGAAAAAGAAAAAAAGAAATCAAAAAAGAATATAAAACTATGTAAAAGTGAACACCGTTCTCACTAGTGCACATATTTTATGGTCAAATCCGAATCATGCTGAGCTACATGTGGTATAATTTCCTTGATGAAATTTACCAGCAGTGATAAGGATTTTTGATATTGGAGAAACATTCTGCCACGTAAGACTGCGGTTTTGAACGTATGAAAAAGGGACCTGGACGAGAAGAATCTATTCCATCACAACACTGACAGCTTGAAATGCCGTTACTTGAGGCTTTTTCAGATTATTCAGCCGTCACATATAAGTGTCAAAATTTATGTATCATACGCATACAGTAATTGAACTTTGTTTCATGAAGGAAACACACATTTCAAAGATAATCGATATGTCTACAATAAGGAGATTAATTTATTTGACATTCATAATATTTGTGTCTAAAGCATTAAAACACTTTAATTTATGTAACTCAATAAACGGATAAAATTAGTTAATTGAGTTAATTGGAACAATTTTACTTTTTCTTATTAGTTTCACCAGGTAGTGCGCTGTTTGTTTGTGTCTCCACACCCGGCTCGAATCTTATCCAGTAGCTCTTGATTACGAACCGGTAAAAATAGTTTAAAGCTGAAACAGTAAAAGTTAAAATGTTTAACTTAATATAAAGACAGGGAATAGACAATTAAAGTAAGAAAGAAAAGTTTATTTGTTACATAAATACATTTAATTTATTTAAAATAAAAATAAATACAATTCAAATGCACCAAATAGGTTTCCACTTGAGTTTCGCATGAGTTCACGGAGTTAGTAAACTTCGTGAATGTAGATTTTCAGTGGAACCGTAATTTATAATTACTATTTACCCTCTTTTTTATGTGAGAAGGTTTCAAGCGAGCTTTTGGCTCACCTGATGGGTGATAACCGCCGCCCATGGATATTTTTTTTGTCAAAAGTTGCCAAACGAGCTGTCGGTTTCACCTGATGGTAAGTGAATACCACCGCCCATGGACATCTGCTACACCCGAGGGTTACAGATGCGTTGCCAACCTTTTGAAAATTGGGCTCCGGCTACCTCACTCACCAGACGAAACGCGAAAGTATTTGCCATACTACCACCTTACGCTTGTCTTCTGTGAGTTCTTGTCTCGTGGTACTTACCCGGATGGGCCTGCTCATTCGTGCAACAGCCGAGGCTGCTGCGTGGCCCTACCACAGTTGAACACCTCGCTTCAATTAAATACTAGTGATACGTTCGTTTCGACACCGAGTGCTTCATAGAATGATCTCATAAAGTAAATGACGGGTTGCAAGGGAAATCATTTTGATCATTTTAAATGCAGAGACAAGCACTGAAAAGTGAAATTAATCATAAATGTTTATCAGAGACTTAAAACCTTTACGGTCTGAGACATTTTGGGGATATTTATTTGTTTTCTAGTCTGGTTGGGCTTACAAACAAAAATAAACATATATTGTATATAATAAATAAATAAATACGATACAACCAGACGCAAGCCCTCGGCAGGGGTGACCAAACGAGGATTAGGGCGAATGGGAGAGAGTACCGGCGGATGATGAGAGTGGTAACGATGATCACAGCATTTTGTATTTGAGCTCGGAGCGGTCCATCCCGGAGTTCCAGTCGCCTCCGATGTTCGGAGAGGCTGACTGGGATTAACCCATTCGCAGAAAAGACTATATGGATAATTTCGGTCGACACACCACCCCACATGTCAGTGACCTCGTGAGCCAAGTACAGACACTTCGCCTTCTTATCTCTTTCGGCTTTCACGAGGTTTTCGTCATACGGCATTGTAATGGGAATGGGAATACCCGCCACTCCAACCGTCATGCAGCTACTCAGACAAATAATAAAAAATAAAATAATAATAATCCACACCAGGAAATCCATTAGAGTGATGATTGCGATCCGAATTGCAGCTGCTGAGGCATGTTGTTTCATTTTTAGAAAATGTCTTTTTATCCCTGTTTTCAGGGAATGAAAAATAACATTCAAATATGACAGTAAATTTCGCCGGAAAAAAAATGTTATAATAGCTGAGTCGGTAATTGGGCGGCCCCAAAACAGACGGCCGCGGTTCGTATCACGATCGTTTACACACTTATTTTTTTTACATTTTTTCAGATCATTTTCTTTATTTTTTATATTTTTTATTTCCAAAATACATGATTTACCCAAAAAAAAAACCGGTCCTCCAGGTACTTTTATTTATATTAACACAACGGTCACTTATTAAGTCAATGCAATAATGAAGTAAAGAATGCTCTTACCAATGATCATCACCCCGCGACAGGTGGCATCCAGATCCCAGGCGTACAGGAATGTGTGGAAGATGATAAAGGAGATGTGCAAAAGCAAAGAGAATGTGGCCCACCACAAGTAGATCCTGATGATATCACGGTTGTTCTGAAAATAAATAAATTGCAATGTTATCGAGGTGGACTCCACTCACACTTAACTGACGACCCAAATGGCGTAGTGCGTAGTGAACCTGCCTCCTGCACCAGAGAGTGTGGGTTCGATCCTCACCACTGGGAACATAATGTGTTTTTCCAATGTCAGGGTGTTTATATATATGTATAATATGTATTGTATATACGTAAATTTATTTACAAAAGAAAAGTATGTTCAAGTTTGTTTATCAGTTATCTAGTACTCGTAGTACAAGCGTTGCTTAGTTTTTAGTTTGGGACTAGAGAACGTTGTTAAAAAAAATGTGTCCTAAAATACTTATTTATTTATTGATTAAGTTTATTAGGTCTACTTAACTTAGAACTTAAATGAGACAAAATAAACGTTTTGCTATTATACATACACACAATGAACTCAATATAATATTATGTACAAAGGTTTACACTGACCTATGCTCGCGGATAATGTTTTGTATATAAAACTTACTTAATTACTTACATGATTGGGATGGCATGAATGATCCTAAATTATTGTCATAATTATGTCCAATTAATGCCACTTAGGTTGAAATCACCAATGAATAACATCCTGTGACTTACATGAGGTGGACGATCCTAAATTATTGTCTTGTCCAATTAATGCCACTTAGGTTGACTACAGAGTGGACGATAGTTTTTTTTTCACATAAGTTTCACATAAGTGTCCATATATTCTACCGAAACTGGAGGAGGTACATACATAGCACATAAATTACGTGTCAATTACTTCATTACTTATTTTAATAGATAGTCCATACGTCCAGACATATATCCTCAAAAACAAATTTATAGGAACATTTTATTATTGTTAAAAATTTCTTTCGAACAGCTACCATAACACCCCCACCATCTTTTTTAGAACTAGTCATTGCATCTGAAGATCGATCCCGTCTAAATACGTTGTATCTTTGGTCCACAATTTCATAGTCAAAAATACTTTATTCAGCCAGGACTCACTGTATATATACTGCGTGTAATTATTATCACATCGTAATCATTGCAAGGGACAGCAGTGTAAAAATCATCTACGTATATTCTACTACTATCCATATATATATAAATAATTATAAAGATTTAAGTGGATTTAAGTCTTTCATAATTTTAAAGCTAAAGTTAATAACCTTTCCTCACATAAATGTTGACCCTTGCGCACCCATACAAACTTGAATTCCTTTTCCTTCGCTGCAATTCTAGTGGCTGCATGAAGCTTTTAATTATCAGGGGAAAGACGTTCGACCACAAATATGGGATGCTTATTTCCGGTTATAGTTATTATAAGTTATTAGTTTGTTGTCAGTATGAATCCTATTGAAATTATATACGTGCGTCGGTGTGGTCATGGCGCGTGTCGCCCCCTTTATGTGTGCTTCATATCGTTTGGGCTAACGGTTCTCGAGTTTTAAGTGAACATACATACGCATATACATTCTTTTATATATATATAGAGAAAGAGAGAGAGAGAGAGAGAGAGAGAGAGAAAGAGAGAACGAGAAAGAGAGAATAAGATCAATAAAACTTGTGATTATTGTATTGAAGTTGTCTCTTGCGCACACGGTCGTGTTCAACTTTGTGTGATGGACATAGTGTTTTTCTAGTGTCTGGCTGTTTATATATGTATAATATGTATTTCATTATAAATAAAAGTATTTTTAAGTATGTTTATCAGTTATCTAGTAGTACCCATAGTACAAGCGTTGCTTAGTTTGTGACGAGAGAATATGTAAAAGTAGAAGAAGAAGAAGAAGAAACGTTTATTCACGGTCTAAGCAAAATGGATACATACAAATTTAAAAAATAATGTAACTACATTATATAAAATAATAGTGGAAAAACTTAAAATAAATGCATAACAAAATAAAAATGTGTCCTAAATATGTACTATCATTAATGATAATAATACATAAAAAATAAAAAAATAATAATAATACATTAATAATAATTATTAATATTATTAATTATTATTATTAATATTACATTATTATCTTTCTTCCAGTTCATCAATCAGTGAGTGGTCACATCCCACGGTACACATCTCTTGGCTTTGCTCCGACCAGGCTGGAGACTCCTGCAGTCCATGTTAGGACATCTCTTCTCACAAGCCACAGTGGCGGCATACCTCACGGTATGCGATGGTCTAACCATGTTTTTTTCACTCCAAATACTTTCTTAGACTTGGACAAGCTTCTTGATTGTTTACAAAGTCGATTAATGGTCTTCCTTCCTTATTATAACCTAGTAACCTTACCATAGTTTCTGTTGACCTACCTTATGCAGGCCGACGATCAGCACGACCGCGGCAATCAATGTAGTGGTGGTGAGGAAGGCGACAAACATTACATGGATGATTTCGCTGACCCAGATACCTTCTTTCTCTACCACTTTCACGATATCGTCAGTTCTGGTGTGCACGTAAATCCCCATGGCCATATCAAATAGATGCTTGAACTGTGAAAGCAGGAGATAAAAGAGATTTATAGGTATTACTAGCAGGCCCGACAAACGTTTTTGTGCCATATAAATTATTTGTAGGGTAAAAAAAAATGTTATGCGATTGGTACCTACTGAACCTTATCCTTTTTTGCAAACGCGAAATTTTTCTATGGACTTGGATGTTTTTACTCTTTCACGCAAATATACTGAATCGTTTTAATGAAACTTTTTATAACCTAGCTTAACCTTCAGAATAACACATATGATGTTGATATACACATATTGCAGGTCGCCTTCAGCCTATTCTACGCAAACGTAGTCGCGGGCAGCAGCTAGATTACATATATAATTTCATCAAAATCGGTCAAGCCGTTTCGGAGGAGTTTAAACACTAAAAATGTGACACAAGAATTTTTTATTTTAGATTATATTATAGTGAGATTTATATAGGGAGATATTGAGATAATTGAAAGATCATTTCACAATCACCCCAATGAGGTTGGCATTTGCAACCCTGGAAGTGACAAACGACCCAGTCTCTCGTTGACTTATAGAATGGAGGTATGGTTCCCCTTATATTATATTGTTGTCTTTGAGTACTTTGGGTCCACCGGCGATGTGCTGTAACTATATTACTCTTTTGGTGAAGAAGTTGGAAGTCAGTGGCACAGACATAAGTGGCGCGCCGAGCTGACGTTGACTGCACACCGCGCTGGGCCAATTGAAAGTAGGTTTGCAAAACAGTACGCTGAGCTAATGTATTTATTATGAATTTGTTAAATACAACAATAAAGACTTTTTAAAAGTTTATTTCGTTTACATTATTACAGATAGATCAAGGTTTAAAAGAAACGGATAAATGGTAACTAATCCTGAAATCGACACACTATGTATGGTGTACAGAACCGTCTATTAGCAAACTGATTATCATTAAGATCGCTAGCTTGCGATACTTTATTTTTATTTTTTACATTTTAAATTGCAATACTTTTAACAGCTGAAAGTAATTTTAAAGTACAGTCTTTGGTTACAACGCCAAATATAATTAAGAATCAAACGAACTTACCTTGTGATGTTTGATTCCAATTGTTTTTTTTCTTAAAACATTGCCCTTACTTTAGGATCTGTGTTGTAAGGACGTTTTACAAACATAAATTTCATGCGGACATACACCCAGATGCGAAACAACTATCTGTGGGTCACACAAATAGTTGTCCCGTGTGGGAATCGAACCCACGACCCCGACGCCGAAGCATGTGATTCAAAGAGGCATCAAATTATGTGATTGTAGCAACCGTAGAAAATTGTTTCCCAACCCTCCCATCACAGTAAAAACAAAATAATGAGCGCATATGGCGTAGGCGCAGGGATGCCAACATCAGGTGGAAGACTATGGGAGCGAGATAGAAAAGTTTTGTGGACATATAGCTCTAAATGTTTGACCGAGATAGCACCATGTCATATACTGCTGCAAGTAATCGTAATATCAAGTCTTCGGTTGCAACATTCATAATTGGAAACAAACATAACAAGGTAAGTTCGTATGATTCTTAATAATTATAATGTCTCTGATGACATCCTGTACTAGACATTCATTATAAATATATATAATATAAGGCGCTTCACATTTACTATCTATAATATATAAAGGTATCGTAATATCAAGTCTTCGGTTGCAACACTCATAATTGGAAACAAACATAACAAGGTAAGTTCGTATGATTCTTAATAATTATAATGTCTCTGATGACATCCTGTACTAGACATTCATTATAAATATATATAATATAAGGCGCTTCACATTTACTATCTAATATATAAAGGTATCGTAATATCAAGTCTTCGGTTGCAACACTCATAATTGGAAACAAACATAACAAGGTAAGTTCGTATGATTCTTAATAATTATAATGTCTCTGATGTCATCTTGTACTAGAAATTCATTATAAATATATATAATATAAGGCGCTTCACATTTACTATCTATAATATATAAAGGTATCGTAATATCAAGTCTTCGGTTGCAACACTCATAATTGGAAACAAACATAACAAGGTAAGTTCGTATGATTCTTAATAATTATAATGTCTCTGATGACATCCTGTACTAGAAATTCATTATAAATATATATAATATAAGGCGCTTCACATTAACTATATATAATATATAAAAGTATCGTAATATCAAGTCTTCGGTTGCAACACTCATAATTGGAAACAAACATAACAAGGTAAGTTCGTATGATTCTTAATTATTATAATGTCTCTGATGTCATCCTGTACTAGAAATTCATTATAAATATATATAATATAAGGCGCTTCACATTTACTATCTATAATATATAAACGTATCCTTACCAATACGAAATAAGCAGTGAACAAACTTGCCACCTTCAGTTCATCTAATTTCAGAAAATAAGAGTCGTGGTGCGTTAGCATGACTGTTCTACAAAATTTGTCCACCAAATCCGTAATCAGCATTGATCTCGCTTAATAACCAAGCGGTATCTCTGAAACAATTGTGTATTGTCAATCAATAAGCTATTAGTAGGATAGAAATTGGTAGTACAGGATCCTGTAGGATCCCATACTTCCAATTTCCTTTTAAACACTGTCCGTTTATCAGTAATAAAAATAAACAACGTTATAAAATATATAAATCATTATCAATTATTACAGAAATAATCTGTTGAGCCAAACATCAAGCGAAGGACATTCAGCAAGACTCTTTTGGTTCAAGACGTTTAGTTATTTGTTTATCTTTTATGCACAAAAAGTACGAAGGCGGACTTGATGCCAAAGGCATTATCTCCCAGTCAGCCTTAGGGTGGTACAGGGAAGATTAGGTAGGTGCACAGAAAGATATAAAAAAAGAAAAACGAAAACTGATACTTACAAGCTACGTATCTTATATTATATGTAAATGTTAAGATAAATAAAATACTAAAATTATACCATAAGAAGATTATTATCAAAAAACGTAATAAGTACGGTACAATGTGTGTACTTATTTACGTAAATGTAAGAGGTCATACTTGCTAACACTTCGTAACAAAATAAACACAACTAGAAACTCTATCCCCTATGCCAGTGTGTAACTCTTTATGTGTGAAAATACATTAAATGCAATTGATACCTAACGGTTTAATTAAATAACTTGGAGTTGTAGTTAAATGTCAAAAAGTTTGTTATTGGTCCCCATGGTAATCCTGAGAAGTTGGTCGCTTTGAAACCAACTTCGTCGTGTCGCTTTTTGGCTGTCGATGTGCGGGCGCAACGTTATACGGTATGTGTATTTTATTTACAAGAGACGTGCCAAAAGAAGTCTAACATCAAAAAACATAGCGTGTATATTAATTAACTTGGTATTTACTTTAAATTAATTTAATAATAAAAAAAATTTTGGAAAAGCCCACGACGGTTAAAAAGTAATTGATAAAGGAAAAAAGAATTTAAAAACCTCGAGTTAGAATATAAATGAAACGCTAGATTGTAAACGTTAAAATATTTAATATGTAGAGTTGATCTCTCGCGGATTCGGTCATGTATGTAAAAAATAGAGTATCAGATTTCCTTCCGTTTTTTACCGTAACACCAATAATCAAAACCGAACCCATAACTGATAACTGCATCAAAATCAAACTAGTAGTTTGGAGAAAAATGGCAACATGGATTTGCACAAACAATGTTTGCTGCAGCGCTCCCTGGTGAGTTGTGATCGTAACACCTAACCTCTGATCTAAGAACATACACCAATCAAACCCAAACCCATAACTGATAACTGCATCAAAATCGAACTAGTAGTTTGGAGAAAAATGGCAACATGGATTTGCACAAACTATGTTTGCTGCAGCGCTCCCTGGTGAGTTGTGATCGTAACACCTAACCTCTGATCTAAGAACATACACCAATCAAACCCAAACCCATAACTGATAACTGCATCAAAATCGAACTAGTAGTTTGGAGAAAAATGGCAACATGGATTTGCACAAACTATGTTTGCTGCAGCGCCCCCTGGTGAGTTGTCATCGTAACACCTAACCTCTAATCTAAGAACATGCACCAATCAAACCCAAACCCATAACTGATAACTGCATCAAAATCAAACTAGTAGTTTTGGAGAAAAATGGATTTGCACAAACAAACATCATCTCATGCCAAACGCATATACTGTCTCCGTTCCGTCGTAAGTAAAAAATTGTGCGAGTCACATGTAGATATTTATTTATTTAAATTTACACAAGCAAAGTGTAAACCACTATAAACAGCAATTAACAAAAACTATGCATATATTTTAGTGCTACCTTAATTGTAGGTGCAAATTGCCAATTTACAATATTTACAACCGAAAATTACAGACTATTAGAATTAAATTAATAAATATTATAACCAACAGCACGAGTACAGTGCTAGCGATTCATTACAATTAATGAGGGAAAAAAATTGAACAGTCGAACCAGGAAAATTAAAAGCAAAATTAAGTACAGTATACCAATAATCAACGGATTGAATGAGAGGTATTAGCTGCTTAAAAGTACAAAAGCGTTTATAGAATACGTATAGTTACGAGAAACCGTGACACGTAATATTTTATATTATAACCAACGATTAAAAAAACATTAATTGTTTGATAACTATGAATTTCTTTTGGTTTTGTAGAGAATACTGAGACGCCAATCAATCAATTTAGAGTTTTCTGATTTAGAGAAGCATTTGTCATCGTTAAACTCTTACGCCCGGTTTCTGAAACACTGATCATCGTAGTAATTAAACTTAATACTAATCAGCTGTCAAATGGCTTAAATAAGTTAGAAAGTTAGCTAAAATTTTGTCCGTCTTTGCGGTTTAAACAAAGGTTATATCAATATAAAATTGATTGCATGTTAAATAAGTTTCGAATAAATTATTGGATTACGTAAAATTAATCTGTGGTTGAGCCACGCAACAGCTGTTGCAATGCGCAGGTCCGTCCGAGTAAGCACAAAGACCTCACAGAAGACCGGCGTGAAGTGTAAAAGTTATACTTCTGTGTTTCGTCTGGTGGATGAGGTAGCCGGTTCCCACATTATTAAATGGTGGCAATGCGTGTGCAACCCTGCGGGCGTTGCAAATGTCCATGGGCGGCGGTTATCACTTAACAACAGGTGGACCGCCCGCTCGCTTGCCGCCTTCTCACATAAAAAAGAAAACAATTATCGTTAGTCAGTTCATAGTTAGGCTCAAACCTTATATAGACTACACTTGCTTCTTCTGATTTTTCATTATTCAATGAACACTTGACTTAGTATGAATTGTAGCCGGAGCCCAATTTTTGAAATGTTGTCAACGCATCTGCAACCCTCGGATGTAGCAGATGTCCATGGGCGGCGGTATTCACTTAACATCAGGTGAACCGCGAGCAGGCGGTTCACCTGATGTTGGAAAATTTTGACATAAAAAAATAAAATCAAATTATAAACGTATATACATGCTTTTATCCATGTCTGTGTGAACGAATATATGATAAATTATCTTAAGAGCATGAAAATCAATCAATCTCAACAAGATGGGGGTTACCTTTGTTAAAAACCCACGCGCCTGCGCTTAACAGCATCCGATCTCAATTAATATAGACATCGCGCCCTATTTCCGCATTCCCGCCTCTATACATAATCATCAGGGAAGTGGTATTAAAATAGCATCGCTTAAGCTTTTCGACACGAAATAACAATTAATTTTTATCAATCGCTATTAGATATGCTATCGATAATATCACTTACATGTTTATCGTATCCGGCAGACGTTATCACGGCAGCAGTTCACCACTGAATGGGGAGGGATCTGCGCCGGAAGCGCGAGAGAAGCCCAGAGGTTGATAGTGATGCGATATAAATAGCAGACGTGATTTAAATTGAAGCATCCGCGAAAACAACGAGCTTTTATTAACTTTGATCGATAAACAGGAAGTTGAGGGTTGGAGAAAATCACCCGTAGTCGCGTAGTTACGAAATTGAAATGATTAATGCAAACATAAGATTTACAAAAGTAATCAGTTCTAATAAAACTAAATTTTTGTAACGTTAAGAGGTTAAGAGTTGGGCTAAAAAGAATACTAACACGACGTAAGCGATTCAGAACTTTTGACTTTAATTGCTAATACTTTAATATTCCTCTGTTTGTTTTAAATTTAAAAAATACAAGATTGGTAAAAAAATTTAGGGCGGTCTAATTATCGATAAAATCCCGGCACTAGTACTCACGCGCCCCACACAAACTAGACTCATCCACTCTATAGCTAGACCCCCGCTTCACCCCTTTAACATGTCTACTTGCAACGATTTAAAACCATGTTCATATATTAAGCGTATCTACAAAATATAACGGGTTTTCCAGATTTCTCACTCCCCGTACATTTCTATTTATTACGTTGAGCTTCGTTTTCACCATCTTTAAGGGATACCTAAAAAAACATAGGTGCCAGTTTCGTACGCTTCACGCTTAAGACTTTAGGTGACACTTAAGCGGTGGTGTAAACGAAACAACGTCTAAACTTTTTAAGTGTCCATTAAAGTTAGGGGTCGATGGTGAAAACGGGCATAAGACGATTACATCGCTTAAAAAGCAGCTGCAATCAATAAGCATCAAGGATTTTGGAAGTTATATTATGATGTAGGAAGTCTATATCTAGTAATTACGTAAGTATTAAAAGAAAGCACTTTTTATAAATCGTCTTTGGTCGTTGTTAAGTATTAAAATCAAAATCAAAATCAAATGTCTTTATTCAACATAGGAGTATTACACTCGCTTATTGATAGTCAAAATACTACCACCGGTTCGGAAAAGAAAGCCACTGTACTGAGAAGAACCGGCGAAAGAAACTCAGCGCGCTTTTTTTTTTTTTTTTTTTTTTTAAATATAGTTTGACATGAATTCATTACAAATACAATATCTCTGATTGAAAGAGCCTGGAGCGATCAGTTCATTACCAGTGTGTTATCATTTAAAGAGGATTGTTTTTTTTATAGATCGTCCAATGACTGTGGTGTTGTTGCTTAGAATCGTTGAAGGTGCGGTTATCTCCAACGTGGAATCCGTCAGCAAGCTGTCCCTCATCCTTCTGATGTTCAACGTACTGACTACTGGCTTTTTGGGCCTCATATACGATAATCAAGATTCTTACGATAGTCGGTATGCATAATTTATATAAGCTATGAACATGCATGCAAACTTAAACTTTTTTTGGTACACATTTGGTACATGAAAATATATTTCTGCAATCTTATAACATCTTTAAAGAAATAAACGTACCACATCGCGTCGGGGCCGTGGAGACACTCTGGAATTACCGAGTTTTGATTGGCTAAAAGAAGAATGTCATTTCTTTATATATATATATATATATATATATATATATTAACTTGTACTAGTGGATGCCGAGTGGTCGAAATTCGACCATAATTAATTTAATTATAAGCTTTAAGTATATTAATCTATTCTACAAT